CCCGCATACCGATCCTAAAGACTCGTGTAGCTTTAGTCTGCCCTGATACAACGCCTGCATTGCCACAGTCTAGTACTGAAACGGCACAGGCAATACCAGAAGGACAGAATTCTACACCTGCATCAACTGTAGGCCAGTGTGTGAAACACATCAAGCCTAAAAGGAAACGTTCAAGACGTCATAAGACCTCGAAGGCGTCATCAAGGAAAGGGGATGAATGCCAGGCGTGCAGCATCACAGTTTCTAAAACTGATTCAGCGTTTGAATGTAATTTTTGCAAACGATGGGTGCACTGCCGTTGTGACAAAGAAGTACCGAAAGCATACTATGAGTTTATGAGAAATAACCCATGCCCATGGTTTTGGTACGTGTGTCCACTTTGTCGCCCTGGCATAGTCCCACAAAGCGTGTCTGCGGATAGCAGAAATAACACGCTCTTGTGCCCCAACACAGTATCATGCAGCTCCCCCCTGCTAAACTCGCACTGCCGAAACTGGTCAAAGACTTAAAGAAGGACACACCAGCCCTACTGACTGGAAATGCCAATTCTCACAAGGTGAAGATTAGCAAGGTTCCATCCACATCAAGGGAGGGCAAAATTACAAAGGCACCACTTGCATCCACTAGCAAGCCTGGCAACACAAAAAAGGCTGTCCAGGTACCGACGAAGCCTAATGTTGCTAATGATGCAAAGGACTGCAAGAAGCCGAAGGCAAAACCTAAGTCTGAGGGTAGTCGGTCTAACTCTCTCATCCTCTTTAACGTACCTGTGAGCACGGATAGCTTGCTCGAACAACGGGCCCTGTTTGATCAGGAACAGTGGTCCAACCTGTGCGGCAAACTAGGTCTGAACATTAGTTCAGCAAAACTGTGCAGACTGTACAGGGGTGTCCACACGCCTCAGGGTAAGCCACCCCCATTACGGGTTACACTGGACTCTGCCGAAGAGGCCGAAAAAGTACTGTTAATGGCTCAGGTACTAGCCCTGGACAGAAGTTCTAACATAAGAGCGCGGCAAGATAGACCATGGGCCGTCAGAAATATGGCGAGGGAGTCACCGGAACTGATGCCTTCCACCTCTATGGTGGTACACGGTGTTCCGGAGCTGGAAACCGGCACTGCTTGTGAAAAACACATGCACGACGTACAACAATGGAGATGGCTGTCATCTCAGATGGCCCCTGGCGCTTCTGGAGCCATCTCCATTTTCCGACTACCTCGTCCCGCTCATCTAACATTGATTAACTCTCCAAAGCTGCTGTGTGTCACATTCAACTCCCCGGAGCAGTTGTCCATATCACTTCAACGGTGGTATGAGACCAAGGGAAAAATTGGAGGACACATCCGATGCTGTGAAAGCAGACCCAGAAATATAAGGAGGCAGCAAACTGAGGCTTTAATACGACCCCAAGCTTCGGTGACACTAGAGCGATGCAGCTCTGAGAATAATAGTCTGTGTCTCCCAAGTGTCCTGCCTAAATCCATTGAAAAAAACTACAACGGGCCGGTTCTATCGGAATCGGCCAACTAGTTCCAACATCAAGTCCCCCACCAGCAGACGGTTTCACGTCAACTACCCCACAACACTCTGAGGTTGTTAGACTCACTGTCAGTTGCCTATATAGCAATGTGAGGGGGCTGAGAGGGAAAGTAGGTGAACTCCGAAATCTCCAAGCACACCTTCAACTGAAAATAATCATTCTTACTGAAACGTGGCTAAACCCCACTATCGCCGACAATGAAATCAGTATAGGTGATATGGTACTGGTCAGAAGAGACAGGGATAATAAGGAAGGAGGGGGAGTTGCTATATACTTTGATAGGCAACTTAAATGTGTGCGCGCAACGGACCCACCACTTATCGAACTCCCAGACTCCATATGGTGTCATTTCACCGTAGGCCACACCAAGCACTTACTGGGTGGCATCTACCGATCTCCCACCTGTGGGGCAGAGCACAATCAGCTACTGCTCAGCACTATCACAGGAATACGAGATTTGGGCTACGACCAAATCACCATAGCTGGAGATTTCAATGCTCCATCACTGAACCTTGGCTCCGGGTGTGCTAAGGGAAAATTTGGCCGAAACCTACTGCAAACTATTCGAAACACGGGACTGACTGAGAATGTTGGAGACGACACTAGGTGGGGCCCTAGTGGAAAGTCATCAAAACTAGATTATATTCTAACTAGTGACCAGCTACTCGTCGAAAAGGTCCAGATCATGACTCCTCTGGGAAGCAGTGACCATGCAGTCATAGGTTTCGATCTTGTCCTCCGTGAGCGTTTGCAATGGGATGTTACGCGACCATGTCTGTGCTACAGCAAGGCTGACTATGCTGAAATGCGGAGGCTCTTGTCCGACGCAGACTGGCCCTTAGCATGGGACGACCTATCTGTGGATGAACACTGGGAAGTGGTAAAAAAGATTATCCATGCAGCAATCTCGGATACCGTCCCTTTAGTCACAACACAGCCTAAGAGAAAGACGTCATGGTTGAAGAGAGGCACGCAACGTATTCTGCAAGCAAAGCGGAGGGCTTGGTTTACGTGGCGTGTATCTAAGAGTCAGACCGACCATGATGCATACCTCGAACTCAGGAACCGGTGTAATGCAAGAGTTAGGAGGGACAGAAGGTCATTCCAGGCTAACCTTGCTAAAAAACTCCTATCAAACCCTAAAAACTTGTACCGATTCATGTCGGAAAGAAAACCGACAAACCAAGGGGCATGCGCCTTAGTAGGCCCAAACGGTCAATATCTCACTAGTCTGGAGATGGCTGAAACATTCAGTTCAGCCTTCGCTAAACAGCTAAACAGCAATGTGGATATTACAGTTACGGACCAAAATGGTGGCACCACTATTTCAGAGGAGGAAGACCTAGCGACTACTCCCCAAATAAACCCCGCAATAGTACTAAGGAAGCTACAGCGACTCATACCTGGGAAGTCCCCAGGTTGTGATGACATCAGGCCATCTGTTCTGAAACAGTGCGCCGAGGCTCTCTGTAGACCCCTGTGCGACTTGTTCCAACACTCAATGGATTCGGGGACCCTGCCAAGGGAGTGGAAAAGAGCCATCCTTTCTCCAATCTTCAAGGGTGGGGACAGGCAAAACGCTGCTAGCTATAGACCAGTAGCTCTACTCCCAGTGGTATCAAAAGTACTGGAAAGTATTATTGACGACCACATCAGGGAATATTTCGATAGGACTAATATACTGCATGAAGCCCAACATGGTTTCAGAAAAGGCAGATCCTGCGTCACTAACCTACTGTCAGCTTGGGACGACTGGACATCATGCTGGGACTTGAACGTACCAGTCCATGTGGTCTTCCTAGACTTTGAGAAGGCATTTGACACTGTTCACCATGACCTTCTCCTACATAAAATAAGCCAGGCAGGCATAGGTGAGCCACTTCTGTCATGGTTGAAGGACTACCTAGCCGACAGGCAATTTTGCACTAAGGTTAACCGAGTCCGATCATCTTGGCACAGATCGTCATCAGGAGTGTCGCAGGGTTCTATCCTAGGACCACTGATGTTTTTGATTTTCATCAATGATCTACCACGCCGTCTGAGCTGCCCGACTCTCCTGTACGCTGACGACGTAAAAATATGGAGGGCGATAAAGTGTCCGGAGGACTCAGATAGGCTACAGGAAGACCTAAACCTTCTGGAAGACTGGGCGGTGGCCAGTGGCATGACTTTCAACTTGAAAAAGTGCAAAGTAGTGAAGTTGCGCACCTGTAGACTGCAGAATGCAAGTTACACCCTGTGCAATGAAAGCTTGTCCTGCACAACGTCGGAACGCGACTTAGGTCTAGTTCTAACGGAAAAAATGGACACAAGCGTAAATTACACAGGGGATGTAGCGAGGGCATATGCGGTCATACACTTTACGCATAGACAGTTAGGTGCACTCACTCCTGAGCTCTTTCTAATGTTGTACAAAACATACGTCAGGCCACACCTTGAGGTGCATAATATTATTGCACCCCCAATGCTGAGAAGAGATGCCAACCTCTTGGAAAGAGTCCAACGACGGGCAACAAAAGGAGTGGTTGGTCTCCGAAACAAACCATATGATGAAAGGCTGAAGAAATTAGGCCTGTTCACACTTAGTTACCGTCGGCTTAGGGGGGATTTGATTACTGCCTACAAAATAACAAATGACCAGAATCACCCAAACAAAGGTGTTCTGCCATTGAGTAGGTATAGGCTTCCACGTGGAAATCCCAGAAGGATAGCTCACCAGAGGGCAAGGACCCGGGTGCGCTCCCACTTCTTTTCACTGCGGGTTTGTCGTCCCTGGAATTCCTTACCGGCAGATGTAGCTATGGCACCGTCTTTGGACGCCTTTAAGCGAAGGCTGGACAACCATGCAGCGATACAAGGACTGCATCCAAATGGCCTATCTCCTTAAAATCGCATTTACCAATCAGGGTAGATAATTAAACTCGTCATTTTACTTCTTTACATTCTCTCCCGTCTTACTCTCCTGACAACTTATTAATATTATAATTACTATTATTATTATTATTATCTATTACCGATATATATATTATTCTTCAAACTTAATGAGCTGACTGTTGTTACGTTTCCTATTTTCGTTTCTGTCTCTTAGTCTGAATAGCTTCACTAATTATATCTATTATTATTATTACTATTATTATTATTATTACTATCTCTTTTCTCTTGTCGACAATACCGAAGGACTAACTGGCGAAAGGATCAACTCCAATCACAGTAGTAACAGTCTTAACATACCTCATACTACAAACCACATATAATTAATCCCAGCACTACTCCCTTTGGAGTCAACCAAAGCTACGACAGTCGAGTGGCGGGACAAGCTACGCAGAAGTTTACCGAAGATCAAGAACCTATACCTCACAATCAAGAAGCGAGCACAAAGAAATCAAATTGGTTTATACTAGCTCGTAAAAACGATATTGGATATTGGATATTGGAATTGTTTAAATTGGTAGATAAGGTCGTTGCGATGCCTTAGCTTACACCGGTTATTTAATTTATATGCTCACGTAAATCTATTTATCTCTTTACGGTCTCATAAAAAATGCACTACGGGTCACTTTAATGTTTACAGTTAAACACGTAGTTTTTGTACGAATTTTATCAACAGTACAGTACAATAATTATTGTAAGTTTGGATTATTAGTCCAGCATCCCAGCTAGCATTTTTTCGGGTGCATTGCAGACTTTTTGGGGCAAAAGCTTCGGGTGGATCTACTTACGTGGGACAGTGTCCCGAAGTTTGCCCCAAAAGTCTGCAATTTGCCCAAGTCTGCCCAAAAGTCTGCAATGCGTCCGAAGTCTGCCCCAAAAAGTCTGCAGTGTGCCCGAAAAAAATGCTAGCTGGGATTCTTTAATGGGACAGACTAGAACTCAGTGCTAGCTTTCAGCATGGCTGGCACTAATTCATCACCGTGTTCTTTCTCTAAGATTACTTAGGAGCAGATCGGAACCTACTGGGTTTGCTTATCAGCGTTGTCCCAGCCCTCACCAGAGATAATAGGCACGGACTAACATTAATTGTGAACGAAAAGACTTAATTCAGCACACAGCTCTCTTTCTAAGCACGACCAGTGTTATTTCAGAACATAGTGGGTAGATAAAATCTTCATTTACCATGAAAAAGCATTATTGAAGAGCAGGTTAGAATAAGTTCAGAATTGTTGTCAGATTGGGATAGGTAACCTTTTTTTGAGCATTTAAAAAATTCTGCAGTGATTGCGAAGCGGCTTGAGTTTCTTCACAGAAAGTATCATCGTATGCTGTCTTTGTCTACCTGACCGTATTACTCCCCAAGCTTACAATTGTTAAAAATTTTAAACTTATTCTAACCTACTCTTCGACAATGTCTTCTTATGGTAAATGAAGATTTTATCTACCCACTTTTTTCTGGAGTAACGCTAGTCCGTCCTTAATATGCCCTGTGAGGGCTGGAACAACATTGATAACGGAACCCAGTAGGTACTGGTCTACTCCTGAAAATGCTTATTAATATAGCACGGTGATGAATTAGTGCCTGTCATGCTGAAAACCTGTACTGAATTCTAGTCTGTGCCATTAAAGAATCATTTTCAGAACAGAATCAAAATTTACTCACTATAAAATGTTATAATTATTTCAGAATTAGTGAGATTTAATTCAGCATCATAGTATGATTAGGTTCAGAGTAGTGTGGTAGGCATGGCATTTTCTCAGCACCATTAAAGCGTTTTCAGTCCCAAATTGTTACTGACTAGTAAACGCTTCTTAGCGTCATTGTAAATATTAATTTTTACAGTAATGCTAAGCTGTTTCCAAACTATGGTAAAGATACGCATATATATATATATTCGCGTCGGTAACGCTATCTGAATAATTTTCGTACCAATAACCCCAGTGTGCAGAGGACTAAGGTAGGTGGTAATTAAAATCTCCCTGGATATTGATATAAAAAAAACTTGTACAGTGTGGAAGAGGGTAATTATATTATGCGTAAAGTATGTTTTGATAAAGTCTCACTGTGTCATATAGTAATGTTTACTGATGACGTTTAGAGCTCAATTCATTGCTCATAATCATATCAAGGTAATCACACGACTTCCTAAATTCATTTGTATAGTTCCACTGTTTTTCACTTGATTTGATTGGTAATAGTATTTTCCATATTTCAGGTATGAGTGATGAGTCATTCCTATTGCATGTATTGGGTGTAGACTCGATGAACAAGGATTCAGTAATCAACCTCTCTCTCCACCTACCTAGATTACTTTGTAGAATTTTAACCCTCCCTCACCACCCTATTATGTTGTTGTATGTCAATGCATGCATTGCAATTGCTGAGCTTTTTTCTAAATTACTTATCTTCTCGGGGTCAACCATTCTTACCTTAGCTAAATTCTTATGTTCTGACAATCTGACTACCCCTGACCTACTAGTTTGACCTATGTAGTCATTGCAGGGTATTTTGCAAATTATATTATTTTGTCTAATTGGGTCAACCGACAGGGTCCTTTAACCTACACAGCTTGTCCGAGCTGAGTGAGTTTGTACGTTTAAATGCCACTCTAATTCCTGCTTTATTTAGAATCCTACGTAGGGAGGGTTTCAGATGTCCCCTCTTTATATGGTATAACTGTAGATGATTTATATTCTGTCTTATTTATGTTATTATTACTAGTTTCACAATTATTTTTATTTTGTTTTTGGCCTTTTCTGATCTTCCTAATGAATTTTATAGGATAGTTATTCAACATCAACGCTTCTTCTATCTGTTTTAATTCATCATTTAGGTCTTTTTTGTGCTACTTAGTGCCACTGCTCGGTTTGTTAAACACTTAACTAAGCCTGCCTTAACAGTTAACGGATGAGACGAATTAAAGTCTAAATATCTATTGGCAGAATGCGTTGGTTTTCTATAAACACTAGTGTGTAGTTTGCCTTCTTCTATTCTTTTTATCTTACGATCTAACATAGCTAATTGTCCCTGTTCATTTTCTGATTCAAATGTGAATTTTATTTCCTCTACTTGTGAGTTTGCATGCGTCAAGAAGCTAGAGATATGTTCTGCTTTTAATACTGTGAAAGTGTCATCCACATATCCCCACCATATTTTTGGAGTAGGATTAAATGTATTGAGGGCACTGTTTTCCCAGCTGCCCGTAAATATGTCTGCGACTATGGGGAATATTGGTGATGCATCTCATTGCTAACTGGCCTAACTGACGCTTTCTAAAAAATGGTTACGAAAAGTCCTCAAAACAAAGGATATCCTCACAATTTCATCAAAAATTGTTTGAACTCGGGTCATAATACCAACAACAAACCATCGTCAAAGATCAGAATAAAATTTATTTTGCGATATATTGAAAGTATCTTTGAAACTACGGCCATCAGACTCACTTCGTTCGATATTGTGCAATCCAAAAAACCCAACTAAAAAAGAAGATAAATAAATACGATTTACAAAATAAATTGTATGAACTGCGATAAACATTAAGTCGGTCAAAGTGAGCATCCCATTCGAATTCGGATCCAATAAACAAATTAGCTGTAAGAGATATGATAGATATTCCTGTTTCATATAAATGCATCCAGGCAATTATGGTTAACAATTTGATTAAAATAATGTCAAAATTATAAGTGGATGAAAAGCCAAAAGTGCGAGATAATTTCTAGAAGCCTGGTTCTCAAGCGAATTGGCAATTAACAGATATATTAGTATTTCTTTTAATTACTAAAGGGACATAGGGTTGCGGCAACGCGTTTCTATTGCGTTCCGTTCCCTGCTAAAGTTTTGATCACCTGGTTCCAACTCTGCCCACATGCTTTCATCTCCTCTTCACACGATCTCCTCCAGATCACCCTGACACTGACAACCAACTCGCCGCTTTCCTATCGGGTTCCACTCGATCAATGGCTTGTCTAGTGATGCCAGTCACTTGATGGTTTGTTTTCTCAGAGTATGGCCACAATCCAATCCACCTCCATTTCTTCCTGCTGATATTTGTTACACAAAGGGTTCCTGCTGTGTTGGTTCGCTCATTGACAGAGATCCCGCCCTGTTGCTGATCTTTTCTGGCCGGCCGGCCGGCCATCTGATCTTGAGTAGTGAGCGAAGACAACTGTTGATGAAGGTCTGTAGTTTGTTGGAGATGCTCGTTATGACGCGCTGGTCAAGTCTGTGATCCGTATAGTGAGTAGCACTGACTGACTTCACATTGAAGTTGAAAATCCGGATCTCATTCTCATTTTGACACTGAGTGGTGAGTGTTCAACTCCACACAGACTTGAGAGTAATGGACGCTCGTCTTGCTTTCCCGATCCTCACTTCTTTGATATCCTCGTCAGTTCCGTCCACCTGTATTTGTTTGAGATGTTCCTAATGAGCAGCCCGTCCGCACGAATGTTCTTGAAAAGCACACTGTGCATGTTAGTGAAACCTGGAATATAATTTTTTGGTCATTAGTAAAACATGCTCATCGAAGTGTTATGGTGTTAAATGGGATTTCTAGTAAGTTTTTCCTTAGTATTTAATTAGTGAATGGTGACTAGCATTGGAATCCAGGATAACGCTCATTTCGTCCTATTTGCGACTCGTCATCTGGATGTACCTGCATTTCTCAGTGAGTGATGATGTCCCTACTGAGGCTCGAACCCTGTGGCTATAGTTTCAAATGTCAAAGCGTTATCCAGTAGACCACTTGGGCCACGAGAGGCACCTCTTGTGCAACAAGTCGCAAATTAGACGAAATTCGCATTATCCTGGATTCCACTGCTAGTCACCATCCACCAAGTGAATTCTAATTGAATTAAATCCCCAGAAGCCAACAGTCTTGTCAACCTGAGACCGACGACTTCGGTCCTACTAATCAGTCGATGGGAATATCTAAAATTCAATTAAAGTTTCACCTTAGGTTTGCGAAACATTAAGTTAAGGTTTATGTCAATGACAAGTTAGGGTTAGGTTTACCTATTAATGGCGACATTAGCGTTAGTTCAAGTTAGATTAGGCTTAGTTTAGGCATATTTTCACTTTTGGGGCTAGGTGAATGAGAGTTTAGGGTTAGAGTTAAAAGACCTGTATAGAATGTGGTTAAATCACTCTGTTGATATAAGAATATTACTTGTGCACTGTGGATGTGGTAGAGTATAATTCCATTGTGGATAACATTTTTATTTTGATAAATTCTCACAATACTATGGTACAGTAACATTTACTGATGACCAGGTTTTAAGCACAGTTTATTGCCCTGTAAATATATTACTGTGTAACACTTTGAGACTTTATCAAAATAAACTTTACTCACAGTGGGATTATACTGCCATTTGATACTCCAACCTAGAACTGAGAACTATTTTTTATCAAATGTGAGAGGAAGGTATCCTCTGTAACACTGTTCTACAGTTTTTATACATTTTGTTTCATAAATATATATAGTAGTCGATATACAAAAATGCCTCCTTCACGTGATTGGTGCGTTTGAGGTCATTTGGTGATTGCCAGTTGTTGGTGTTTAAAGTTTAATTTTGCCGGAACATAGATTATGCCCGTGGAAAAAGCTTGAACTGGGATTGTCGTTTTGCCGACTTATTGTTATTATTATTATTATCATCGCTGTCACCACAGGAGTCTTGTAGAAGGGACATTAATATTTTGAGAGAGTAGAGTACTTAAAAGAAATATATATTAGTTTTAGGATTTCATCATGAGCTGACATTATTTCGAGAACCATTGGAAAACCAGCTGGGAGTACTGGACAGCTGCTGTTTCATCCTAGTTTTGGACTTTTCAGCAGTAGACACCCACCGCCAGGGCTCGAACCCAGGACCTTCCGGTTACAAGGCGAGCTAGCTCGTAGACCATTAAGCCACTGGGACCCGATCCAATGGTCCTCGAATTCTAACTTCTGCCAATTCACGACATAGCGCATACTGCTGAAGAGTCCCAAACTAGGACGAAACAGCTGTCCAGTACTCCCAGGTTTTCCAATGGTTCTCTAACTAATGTCAGCTCATGATGAAATCCTGTAACCAATCAATCAAATCCCTACAAACCAACACTTGAATATATTTGTTTTGTCAGCAAGTTGGAAATTCACTTCCACTTTCCACTGAAATGGGGAGTTTACTTCAAGACTTAACATCAACAGTGTTTATTTTAAGTGGTGGATGGTGACTAGCAGTGGAATCCAGTCCAGGATAACGCGCATTTCACCGATTCTATTTGGGACTCGTTCACCAGGTGGATGTACCTACATTTCCCAGTGAGTCATTGATGATGTTCCCGCCAAGGCTCAAACTCAGTGCCCATAGTTTCAGGCACCAGCAGCCAAAGCATTATCCACTAGACCATTTGGGCTACGAGAGCCGCCCCACTTCTTGTTCAACCAGTCATATTAATTATTTAATTGAATTTTGGATTTCCAAGTCGATTGATTGAACCGAAGTGCTCGTCGGTGTGAGGTTGATATGTCTGTTGGCTTCTTGTGCAGATGTTTCGATGATGTCTTGGCATGTAATTAGAATTTAATTGGTGCATAGTGGTGGCTAGCAGTGGAATGCAGGATAACGCGCATTTCGTCCTATTTGGCCCAAGTGGTCCAGTGGATAACGCTTTGGCTGCTGGTGCTTGAAACTATGGCCACTGTCTGTCTGAGCCTTGGTGGGAACATCATCACTTACTTACTGGGAAATGCAGGTACATCCATCTGATGAGTCCCAAATAGAACCGGTGAAATACACGTTATCCTGGACTGGATTCCACTGCTAGTCACCATACACCAATTAAGTCTGGTTATGGTGTGTGTGTGTGTGTTTGATAAAGTGAGTAGAATGTCGGGTCAACTATGGGCAGGTTTTTCTGTAAAATTTGAAGCTAATGTACGTGTGTGTGAGTATAGAAGAAAAAAAGGAGAAGAAATTGATTTTTAGTATTTGATTAGTATCTGATTGGTCCCTGAAAGGCTAACATCTTCCTTCTTTTGTTTTTGACAACACCAAGCTCTAAAGAGTATTTTAATATACACCTTTACAGACTGGAATTTCACAGACCAGAAGTCAAACTGACCTCTCCAACTGTATCTTCTATCAGTAGTGAATCCTGGTAATCCTTATAGCGTCTTCAATTCAAGGCATTGGCGGTGGATTAATACAAGTCATCTAATCAGGTGTGTGTATGTGTGTGAGCTTGACAACTGAATTACAATAGCAACAATCCAATAACACACTAAAAGAGTTGTATACAAACACTATTCAAGAAGGTCAGCCAGTCAGGACTCATTGCAGCACTCCCACCTTAAGGCAAAATTGAAGAAAGATATCTCATGGACGTCTTTGAAAAGAATGGATGGATATCCACGGAACTTCATCAAAAGACATATGCCCCCAAGCCAACCTATCTCAAACCAAAAGCCCTCAAGGAAAGCACAAGGAAAATCACCCTACAATATGTAAAGGATATCTCAGAAATCAATCACTACAAGACTCTTCAAACCTTTAGGAATTAGCATCACTCAAAAACCAACAAAATCACTTCACTTAGCTGGTGGCTCTTTGTCAACTAAGAGACTCAACAACGAAAGAAGGAAGATAAATCCAACATCATCTACAAAATAAATTGTAACAACTGCGAAAAACACTGACTAAATTGGCCAAAGTGGACATCCCTCCACTTCGTCTTTGTATCCATGAACATAAACTAGCCACCAAAAGACATGACATCCACTGCCTTAATAACTCATATCGCCTCGCTGCATCCAGACAACCATGGACATCAATTCGACTGGGACAACCAACATTCAAATATTAGACAGACAGAGGAAATACCAAGAATGGTATTCCAGTGAATCATCAATCAGCAGACACATCGAGATAGACAAAATCTACTGACCGATAAAAAAAGAAACCTCACACACACACACACACACACACACAAAGGGTCAAAGTTCAAGTCAAAGAAACAATCAGTTCCAATATGGATACAAGTAGCCTAGAGAGATTGTAAAAATACACACAAAAACAATCAAACCAATCACGTCCAAGGTGGTCACCGACCAGGAGAGATGATTAATAAACTCACTCGTGTAGAAATCTAAAAACTCACTTCACTTTAACAAATTGAAGTGTATTCGCTGAAGGAAGATGTCGCTTGCCTAGTAGTAGGGCGATGAAAGCTTCGAAAAACTGATTTTTAATATTTTTGATTAGTTTTTGAGTGATCCCTGAAATGCATAAATCTTTTTTTTTTGACTATACGAAACTCTAAATAGTATTTTAATGCACACCTTTACAGACTGGAATTTCAAAAAACAGAAGTCAAGCTGACCTCTCTGACTGTATCGTCTATCAGGAGAGAATCCTGGTAATTCTTATAGCGGCTTCAGTCCAATACATTGCCGGTGTGTATCTCCACGTATTCTATAAAAATGTCAACAGGATTTTACGTTGGTCAAACGCATAACGACAAGCGGAATGGTAGGCTTTCTTGACAGTTTCAAATAATAATAATAATAATCATAATGCTGGATGTATAAACTAGGCACTGGGATTTATTCCTATCGAAATGGTTACTACAAGTATGAAGGTCAGTGGAGTGACGGGAAAAAGTGTGGTAGGCTTCTTTATTGATTTGTGTATTTTTTTTTTAAATACACCTATAATATTTTAAGGCAATGGAAAATTTACTATGAAAGATGGAAGCGTTTATGAAGGGGATTTCACCGATGGAGAGATAAGCGGAAAGGGGAGAAGATATTATCCTCTATCGAAAAATGAATACATTGGTCATTTTATGCTTGGAGAACGACACGGATATGGACGGATGAATTATGGAAATGGTTGTGTTTATGAAGGCGACTGGTTACACAACTCAAAACATGGTAATAAATACTTTTTTTTAAAAAAAACTAAGAAAGAAAAGGACAGGGGAAATATATTTATATAGACGGAAGTAAATATACTGGTGGTTTCATTGAGAATAAACGCAGTGGAGCTGGATGTTTATGGACAACAATGTATGCAGCAGTACAATATGTGTGTGTATTTTTTTTGCATATATCTTATTTCGATAAAGCAATAAGAAGACATAATTTGTCTGTCTGAATCGTGTGTGTAATGTGCATATTTGTGCGCGAAACACACATTTCGAACAATCTGATCCATCACACACACACACACACACTTGTCATAGGAGCACTAATATATGAAATTAATAAAGAGTGAGTTAAGAGGTGGCTGAGAAAATAGACTTGACTACTTAGGTCAAGTTAAAAGCAGGACATATTGAAAGTCAAAATAACAATTAAGATCAATCACTAAACCAAATAACAGAGGTAATAGTATATTCACCCTGGTTGGTATTAAAACAAAGTTTACTAACGTGATCGTCGTTCCTCACTATGGAGTCATTTTTCGTTGTTAAGTTGGTCAATCGGTAAAGATAACAAAACCAATTGTAGATTATGTGTAAAATTATAGAAGCAGTGTGTGTTAACCTAGTGAACTTGCATATCACATTCGTGTTGAATCCTGTCACTTCATAGGGCAGGGGTGGGGGGTGTTGTGACCATCATTCCTATTCAGTTCAGACAATTTAGATTCAACTTGATATGAAGTACTTCTGATGATACTAAACGTTCTTTATGATTTCTGAAGTTTTTCTGGATTATTTCAATATTTTCAAAATCAGTTTTGTGGCCCCATTACTGACGAATGATGATCAAGTTAGGAAACTTTGTTTTGATACCATAACAGATATACTATTACCTTTATTATTTGGTTTAGTGATCTTCTGTAGTTTGATTTGTAAGGGTTATTTTCGTTTTACGAGTTGATCACAGATTGATATCAGTTAGAGAACCATTGAAAACCAGCCACAGGGAGTACTGCACAGACAGCTGTTTCATCAGCCTAGTTTGGGAATCATCGACAGTACGCACCCACCAGAGAGGGTTCGAACCCACGACCTTCCGGTTACAAGGCTGGCAAGTTTGTATACCATTCAGCCACTGGGAATTTCAATATTTCATTTTAACTTGACATAAGTAGTTTATTTTCTCACCCACCTCCCTAACTCTTTGTTATATATATGCTGAGTGGATTTAATAAATTCTGGTTTAATAAAACTGCTTCGATAAAACTATTAGCATGAAATAGGGAAAAGTCAATAAACGCAACAATATCGTTTTGTTTTCATTCATTAGGAAATACAAAAATCTTTATTATAAGGAGATAATTCTATCAATAAAAAAGTACACACAAAAGACAGCATAGTTTATGACAAAGTTTAACAAACAAAGTTTACCAAGTAAGGTGGTTTAGTGTGATAACGAATTGTTGCTTTGAACGCATAAAGATGGTTTCAACTTCCTTATTACCAGCTAGGGCTTCCACAAACTTTAGGGTACCCCCTCCCCCCGAAGACACGCTTTTATAGATAGGTTTAAAAGATGTGTAAATGTCAATTTTATGTCGTCTCTACATAAGAGGCACCTTACTAAGGCCTCTTCAGTAGCATCTAACGAATATGCATTGAAGACAGACACACTTGATGATGAGGAAGAAAGAATATTGACACAACTCTGCTCTGGTTGATAACAATTATCTAGACAAGTTCATCAGGAGATATTATAAAGTAGTCAGTAAAGACCCACTCTCCAACTCACCCCTAAGAAAGCCGTGTACATCAAGCTACCTAACCTATGGATGGGGTGGGTGGGGGATCATAGCAGCTTGATAACTAGACAAAGATTTAACACTGTTGTGGTTTGAAAGACGTTTTATGCAGTTAATATCATAATAGTAATTGAGAATGTGAAACCAATATATCCATCCACTCATCTAAACCCTTTGAACATGTGAAAAATGATGTCACATTTCAATATGTCTACCAATTCGAATGTACGTGTGGACATACATACATAGGGAGGACTCATCGATCTCGGCAAGCGAGTAAAGGCTGGCTGGCTTCAAAGCATATTCCTAAATGGATCCAGAAGCAAATAGAATCTTTAGAACCCATTAGTGGTGAAAACAGGAGACCTAGATCCACTATTGCGAAACATATTACAGAGGAGACAGGACATAAAATTGACGTTTACACACCTTTTAAACCTGTCTATAAAAGCGTGTTTGTGGTGGTGAGGGGGTGTTTGGGGAGCAAATCCTAAAGTTTGTGGAGGCCCTAGCTGGCAGTGAGAAAGTTTAAACCACCTTTATGCATTCAAAGCAACAATTCGTCATCACTATACTAAACCTACCTTCCTTGTTGATAAACTTTGTTTTGATACCAACCAGGGTGGATGTACTGTTACCTCTGTTATTTGGTTTAGTGATTGATCTTCATTGTTATTTTGACCTTCAGTATGTCCTCCTTTTAACTTGACCTAAGTAGTCAAGTCTATTCTCTTACCCACCTCTTAACTCACTCTTTATTAATTTCCTATATATATGTACTCCTATGACAAGTCCGTGTGTGTGTGATGGAACAGATTGTTTGAAATGTGTGTTTCGCGCACAAACATGCACATTAGACACACACATGATTCAGGCGGACAAATTACGTCTTCCTTCTTATTGCTTTATCTAAATTCATGAGGGGAACTAATTTTTTTTAAAAATATCTTATTAAAGGTTTGTTTATTGGGGCTACTGGAAAAATAATATCTTCAATGGTACGGGCACTTTAAAACTCATAAACGGAACAAAATACGAGGTGAGAATTAAATGTTGATAAACAAAATGCTTACTTACATACTTAAGACCTTAGATAAAATTAAGCGTATGACTCGAGGATGGACTGAAACACCAGATCACCTATGCATGGATGGTTCAATGCTAGTAGACTAATCGCCAAACACGCGCAAGATCTAGGGTTGATTCCCAACCGACAAACTCCTAGGCATCGCTTAGTTTACAAACCAGGAATAACCCCAGAAAGCAGGGTAGGCTGGATGTGAAGCTGGAACATCAAAGACTTGAAGCTCTATGATCAGCTCGGAACCTGATCATTAGTTTGTAACAACAGAAGACAAGGGCCAGCCAGGCAACAGATCGTTTATTTACGAAATCAACACATACTTATATATTTAAATGTACATTATTATAGATTATTCTAGGCAAACAAACACAGTCTTCTGATTGGTTGTTTCTGTTTGTGTCTGTTTCTTGAGGGTCAGATCATCTACCTATCTGCTAATTGTATCCGCCTACGCGGAGAAAGTGTTCTGTGATTGGTTGTGGAGTCAGTCAGTCTTTGTTCTTGCTCTTATTTTCTCAAGGTCAATAATTGGGATATAAACATTGACGTAAATTACTGTCTACCAATTTCGGCTAGTTAACAGACAGCTCTCATCACAAGTTTATTGAGAGTATAAGCAAATATTCTGTTGTATGACTTTATATGTATTCCCGTTGTTATTGGGACGAGTGAAATCGATTAGACTCTTTCAGTCTTCACAGTCAGTATTATGCGGACAAGCCGATAAACGTTTGACAAGACCCGAGAAGGATACCATGAGAACCGTCACTATTGCTTTTGACGAACTTCAGCCTTGATATAAGCCAATTCATTGTATTTTATCTACTTCTCATCATGACACTACGATTAGGAAGAGACTATCAACAATAGAAGGAGAGCGCAATTATTGCTTTGAGTTGTCTCTTGAACATTATATAAATCTGTGAAAATAGAAATTAAAAGATAAATTCAGCGAAAAAATGCTTCTTTATCAACAAAATCATCTTCACAGGCTCTTTTAAGGCTGTACAGTCGTATTTATACTCACCAGAATATATATATATATATATATATAGTGGTCTAGTATTGAATAATAGCAGTGGGAGGGGGTGACATAATTGATACAATTACTCGGAAGTGACTTTAGAAGTACAATGGAACAAACACAGAAATTTGATAAGGTTAAAATTGCTATTGAGTGAGAGTGAGAATAGAGGTGTGGTAGTTGAGTGTCAATTTAACAAGTGTGTCAAGAGGGTGTGAACAGGTGTACAACAGGGAGCATATGAGAGTGATAATAGTGAATTAATTATTGAAGGAACAGCAAACTTAAAGTAAAATTGGAAAAAGAAAAATAATTTAAAGCATTTTGCTTTTCACAGGAAACGACTAGTGAAGAGGTTAAGACCAAGGTAGAATAAGAGACTGGACAAACTTTTCCTGTATACAGAGCTCAGGGTTGTATTGACGAGTTGCCGGCTCCTCCGCCATACACGAAAGCCGAAACCTGATGCCTTTTGTACCATTTGGCCTCACCTTGTTGATGATCTTGAAAGACAACTCTAGATGAGGTATGTGGCCTGAGTTCACCAAGTGCTCGAGAATTGACCTAGTAATTGTCTTGCATTGTCCTTTTGGTAACCATGTCGGATAATATTCAGAGATGCGTTTGGAAAGCGTGCGCTTTATGCGGGTGGCCAATATAACTAGCTCTAGACAAGCAGGTGAATTTATAAACACACATTGAGGTGGCCTGTCCAAAGCGTCAGTTTATCCTTCACACCCACCCATTGATTATTTGTCGGCTGTAGAAATTGATCCGCAACACAGCCATAAAGAAGGCTTTCCTCAGTGATCTGCATAGGCGGTTGTTCGGCTTTTGTGTATAAGGGAGGCGCTAGCAATTCATCAATACCACCCCGCACTCTGTATACAGACAAAAAGTTTGTTCAGTCTCTTATTTTACGTTTGTCTTAACCTCTTCACTAGTCGTTCCCTGTGAAAAGAAAAATTTTGAATTTTTCTTTTCTTTTTTAATTTTCCTTTTAGTTTGCTTTTGCTTCAGTAATTAATTCACTATTATATCACTTTCATATGCTCCCTGTTGTACACCTGTTCACACCCTCTTGACACACTTGTTAAATTGACACTCAGCTACCACACCTTTATTCTCACTCTCACTCAATAGCAATTTTAACCTTATCAAATTTCTGTGTTTGTTCCGTTGAGTACCACGTAATTTACAACTTTTAATTTTGTACTTCTAAAGCCACTTCCGAGTAATTGTATTAATTATGTCACCCCCTTCCACCGTTATTACTCAATGATAGACCACTATATATATATTTTTGGGTGAGTGTAAATACAACTGTACAGCCTTAAAAGAGCCTGTGAAGATGATTTCGTTGATAAAGAAGCATTTTTTTCGCTGAATCTGTCTTTTATTTTCTTCAGGACTCAATGGGTATTTTCCAAACTGAATCGACGGTACTGTTTGAAACGAACTCACTGTTATTATTATGATCATTATTATATTTAATATTCTCATTTTGTACCCCGAATATTTATGACTTTGTATCGTAAATGTGGACAAATTCCTCTGGTTAATTTTGTCTTAATTTTTAATTTTATTTATATTTTGAGTAAATCAGATGCAAGGTGTTGTGAGGAATGCTGAGAATTCCATTCTGTATTATAAGTACTGTTCGTCTTAGAATAAAGCAAATTTGTTAACTACTTCGCTACTACCAAGGGGTGCCATGGCCGATTATACATCTCATCCAACAGTTATACGACAATACTGCATGCCAAGTAATCCACAACGGGAAACTTACAAAAGCCTTCAAAGTGAGGACGGAGGTGAGGCAAGGCTGTCTACTATCGCCAATGATTTTCCTAATTGTGGGCAGTGGATTGGATAATGCGACAGACAGCGGGCCGGGCAGCGAGGAAAAAGGCATAAAATGGACCCTCACAAAATACTTGGAGGATTCGGACTTCGTCAATGTGATGTATACGTCTAATTTCCCACAAACTGGAAGATATGCAAGTGAAAAGCAACAAGCTGCCAGAAAAAGCAGCCAAAAATGATGGTACTCCAGGTGAATATAGATAAAACAGAGATAGGTGATGAAGATTCCTGGCCAACACCAACAGCAACAACAACAACAACAGACAACATTCAGACAGCATAAATGGGAGGAACCTGAAAGAAACAACCTGCTTTTCCTACCCACCTACCTACCTCGGAAGCATCGTTTCAACTACACGTGGACCGAACTGACGAGGATATCAAAGAAGTGAGGATCGGGAAAGCAAGACAAGCTTCCATTACTCTCAAGTCTGTGTGGAGTTCAACACTCACCACTCAGCATGAAAATGAAAATGAGATCCGGAATTTCAACTCCAATGTGAAGTCAGTCAGTGCTACCATAAGGATCAGGGACTTGGTGCATCATAACGAGCATCTCAAGCAAACTACAGACCTTCATTAACAGTTGTCTTCGTTCAGTACTCAAGATCAGATGGCTGGTCAGAAATGATCAGCAGCAGGGATCTCTGGAAGCGGACCAACCAGGAATCGATTGTCCAACATATAATCAGGAAGAAATGGCGATGGATTAGCCATACTCTGAGAAAACAAACATCAAGTGACTTCACTAGACAAGCCATTGCACGAGTGGAACCCGGAAGGGAAGTGGAAAATTTGTCGTCAGTGCAAGGGTGACTTGGAGGAGGTCATGTGAGGAGGAGGAGGAGATGAAAGCATGTGGGCAGACTTGGAGCGGGATGAAAACGTTGTCAGAAAACAGAAGGTAATGGAGGTGCTCAGCTGAAGCCCTATGTTCCTCTAGGAATTAAAGGATATGATAATAATAATAATAATGGTAATAATAATAATAAACATTAGAAAAGTATTTTAAAACTTTTATACTTGATTATCACTGTTGATGCACAGGGTGAATTTGTCAATGGAAAACCTAGTGGACACGGGAAACTAACACGTCAGACAATTCTAATGATGCCTAGTTATGAAGGATTATGGAAGGATGGTTCCCCTTGTCAAACTGCACAATACATGCGACTGTCTGTTGAAGCTGAGAAAGCCATGTCAGACAAAAATTATTCATCTCTGCTTGAATATCAAAATTCACCTGTCAAAGAGGCAGAAAACTACAAGTTCGCTACACTCTCATGGATGGAAATTTCGACAGACGAATTGAAGACAAACTGTAGTGTTGATATTTGTGTATACACTGAAAATCGTCAAATTCTTATTGAAGGTGAGCCAGTTTATCACAGACGAAAAATGACAGTGTAGCTCCAAACCGAATTCCACGTTATTGATATAAGTATAAAACTTGGGCAGGCACTGTGTTGTGGTAGAGTATAACTACTCCATTATGGGTAAGATTTTATTTTGATAAACTGTCACACACAGTGTAGTGTAGTATTTGTTATACAGTAAGTAATATTAACTGATGCGACCACACGCTTCGAGCACAATTTATTATTATTCCCACTCATAATCATATCAATATCATATTGTAACAACGGAAGACAAGGGCTGGCAAAAGATCGTCTTATTACGAAAATCAACACGTATTTATATATATTTTATGTACATTAATAAGGCTTATGCAAGCAGAAAAAGGCAGTCTTCTGATTGGTTGTTTCTCGGAAGTTAAGCAGACAAACGCAGTCTTATGATTAGTTGTTTTCGATATTTCTCGGAAAGTAGAGCCATCTATCTGCGAATCATATTTGTCCACGTTTAAGTTTGCTGTGATTGGTTGTTGAAACAGCCTTGTTCATATTTTCTCACGGTCCATATTAGTGACCTAGACATTAACGTAGATTAGTGTCAACCAATCGGCTAGCAGCCTGCTCTCACCACAATATCACATCAGTATCAATATAATAAAATTCACATTGGAATCGGAAAATGATAAAGGGGGATTAGCTGTGGTGGTAAATTGTAAAATAAAAACGAAAAGAAGAAGGTAAAATGCACACTAGTGTTTATAAAAAGCCAACGTATTTTGCTAATAAGTATCTAGACTTTAATTCATCACCTCATCCGTTAACAGTCCGTGAAGGCAGGCTTCCTTAAGTTAAGTGCCTAACAAACCGAACAGTAGCACTAAGTAGAACACAAGAAATGACCTAAATAATGAAATAAAACAGAGAGAAGAGCTGGTTGGTGTCAAATAACTAACTGTCCTATAAAATTCATTAGGAAGATCAGTAAAGGCCAGAAGCAACATCCAGAAATAATTGTGAAACTAGTAAAGATAACATAAATATAAGAGAGAATATAAGTCATCTTCTGTTATACTTCATAAGGAGGGGACATCTGAGACACTCCCTACGTAGGATTCTGAATAACAAAGCAGGAATTAGGCTGGTGGTGGCATTCGAAACTACAAACTCACTCAGGCAGGACAAGCTTTGTAGGTTAAAGGACCTTGTCGGTTGATCCAATTAGACAAAATGATACCACTTACAAAATACCTTGTAATCACTGTGAGTTAGGTAAACTGCATAGGTGAAGCAAACTAGTAGATCGTGGGTAGTCAGATTGTCGGTACATAATAATTAAGCTAAGGTGAGAATGGTTGACCCCACCAGAGAAGATAAGTAATTTAGAAAAAAGCTCACCATTACATTGCAGTGCATGCATGCATTAACACACAACAACACAATCTCATCATGGAAGAGGGTAGAAGTTTTAAGAAGTAATCTATGTAGGTGGAGAGAGAGAGGTTGGTTGCTGAATCCTGACTAGATCATCGAGTCTACACCCAACACAACACAACACATGCAACATAAATGACTCAATGCAAATACCAGAAATATACATGGAAGATATTATTACCACCAGTCAGTCAGTCAGTCAGTGAAATCAGAGGAGGATAATAAATAATCTTAAAGTGTATTCTATTTCAATTCAATTCACGCACATCATCATAACATTCCAACAAGTTACTCACTTATTTTGACTATAAAACAAAAACACTCGTCTTATTTCCCATCTGATTGTAATTCATTAATAACACTCATATTATTATTTTTTCTGAATGTACATTATCCCATATATAAGTAAAGGAGAGAAGTTGTGTGAGTGAGTGAGAGACTTGACATGATTACGAGTGCTAATAAGCAATTGTGCTCGAAATGGCGTGTGGTCGTATCAGTTAATATTACAGTATAGCATTACACTGTACTGTGTGACAGTTTATCAAAATAAAATCATCCAAAATCGAGTTGTAGGAGACAGACTGATAAACAGAATGATGGCCACATTGCAAACCTGATTGACTGACTGACTGACTGGTAGCATTCAGTCTGCACCAAATTAGAGCACTTGGCTCATCACACTAGGTACTCACTACAGTCCTGCAGAAGGTTAGCCGCGAGCCAGTCCGAATAGTTGGCTCAATGGTAACTTCTCTGATTGCAGTAGTCACTGGAGGGTGACGCGAGTTCGAATCTCAGATGGGTGTATCATCAGTGTAGTTGCAGATACGCCTTTGTGACTGATGGAGGGTGTGTGCCAGCTAGCACGAAAGCCTAGGTCTAGGCTGGGCTTCCTCTGGCCGATTGCCTCCAAGTATCTAATACTTTAGTACCACAATGAGTAGTCGCAAAAGCCACTGGTAAATTTGTTAGTATGTGTAGAAATAATCAGGAAGTATTTTCTGGAATTACCAATAAACGCGAAAAATTGAGTGTAGCTGTAAAATTAACAACAACATATTTATGTAAATGTCACATTATTTTAGTATCCATCATATCTATTTTCAATAACCATTCAATATTTAAATTATTTGAATAATTTGTATTCAATTCACTTCAGTTCAACTGAATTTTTCATCGTTTGACTCAGCTAACAGGGAGCAACAGAGTATAAAATGACTCCATTTTAACACTAATTTGTTGGATTAATATATGTGTGTAAAACTTGGTTACTATGGTGTTGGTAGTAAGTAATTCCATATTAGTTTGTTTATTAGATGTATCACACACAGTCAGTGAGTGAGTGAAACAGTATTAGTATGACTTACTGGATGAAAAGGTTTCGAACAAAATTCACTTATTGCTGTTCATAATCATACACATCAACAATTACAATCACGCGACTTCGAAACTTGACTTTTATAGTTTTCTTTGTACTCTCCTATTTGTCGTCGGGGTAGTGTAATTTTACAGATATCTGTGTGGACAGGTGTTGAATCATTCCTATTACACGTATTCCCGCGTTTCAGTTGATTCGATAAACAAAACTTCCGTTGTTATCAATCTCTTCCTATACCCTGTTATATTAGATTTTTAAACGGTCATTTTATCCCATCCAGCCTATTGTATACTTGTGTGTGATTGCATGTAATGCTATGTCTGAACTATTCTCTAGATTTCTTATCTTATTCGGGTCAACTAATCTATATTTCGCTGCTGGTTTTTTTTAATGCTCGGCAAGTCTGATTGACTGCCCCTGTTCTACTAGTTCGACGTATGTATTTGACCTGGAAATCATTGCAGGCAGGCAGGCAGGCAGGCAGATAAACTAAATGGATTTGTTTTAAAGGCTTCGCATGATCCTTTAATTGACAAAACTTGTTACTAATTGAGTTTGTGGGTTTGAACGCCACTTTTATTCCTGCCTTGTTAAGAATTCTGCGTAAGGAGGTTTCCGATGTTCCTTAATTGTATGGAATGTTATGTGCTGCTTCTGAGTGAGTTATTAGAAGTTTTCCCCGTCGCTAATTATGTTATGTACTCGTCGAGTGGTTAATAGTCCTGACGCGGAAAGAGGGAAGTCAGAAGACCACCAGGTTTACGATGATACTTGTATTTTCCAGACAAGGAAAATAAATGTCACACAAGAGTGTTGTGAGTGAATAAGTACGAAATGTACGGACAAGTATGTGAACCAGAATAGATAAAAGTGTCTAATACAAAAGTATATATGAAAATGGCTAATACACATAAACCAATAGATGACAGTCTTAACATGATTGGTTGTAATGTCATATGACAACAAGGCCATACATTGTTTATTTAGTAAGTGGACAGACAAAAGCAGAATGTCAGTTATAATGGAATATCGATCCATATACACAGCAAAATATAACAGACTGTCAAAACAAACACATATCATATGGGTACATATCACCTCCCCTCTTGAGAAGATTGATGATTAGTAGCGTGTTTTCTTGGGGGTTTATCTGGAACCGTTGAGTTTGTTGTTGACGTCTGTCGCTTCGTCTGCTTGTTGGGTTTGCGGCTTCGGCTTCGTCCAGAATTGTCCGACATTTTATGTTTCCTGGCTGCATTGCCTAGAGAGTTTAGTGGGACATCAGCCAGATGCAAACGATAGAACCAATCAAGTCCCAAAAGATTTAAATCACTCTTGGTGACGTAGCAAATTCCTGTGGATTTAGTGTTACGGAATGAAACAGAACATTTGAGTTTCCCAATTAGTTTGTGGCGCCCACCACAGGCGCTGACAAGAGTCTGGGAAGTATTTGTGATAGGTGGTCTGCGAATATCATTCAAAAGTTTCTCTGATATAACAGTAATATCAGAGGCGGTATCTAGCTGCAGACGTGCATCATGACCATTAATCTGAAGATCAAGATATTTCCGCATACCTGGTGTTGTGACTTGACGGGTTACGACTAGACTCATTGACCTTTTTGGGGATTGAGGACCAACAGTTGGTCGAGCTTTCGCTGGATTATGATATGTGGGTTTGCGTGGCTGACAAAAACCATTTTTATGACCGATGATTTTGCACTTGCTGCAACGATGATTTTTGTATGGACAGGACTTTACAAAGTGCCACGCGCCACAGTGCCAGCATGGTGATGGTGGGGTCTTCTTTGCAGTATGTTGTGAAGTTGGACGAGTATGTGTATATTTACGCGGAACATAAGAAGAAGGTGGGTCAGGACTGGATGATGAAGAGAGATTTTTGCTCTTTCGTAATGCATGAATATCAGAGCTTCTCGAAGTTGTTGATTCGACCAGGTGTGTATCTTTCTGCAAATTATTGTAATTGATCACTCATAACACTCATATTATTATGATTATTATTTCTGAATGTACATTATCCCATATTACTGATTTGTATTCAAATGTCTAATCATGAATTCCACTTATGTATATAAATGAAGGGAACAAGAAAGTTGTGTGAGTGAGTGAGTGACTTGATATGATTATGAGTGGGAATAATAGTATGTGCTCGAAGTGTGTGATCGCATCAGTTAATATTACTGTATAACACCACTTCACTGTGTGACAGCTTATGAAAATAAAATCTTATCCATAATGGAGAATTCCACGTTGGTAAACACGCGTCTAGAGTTGCATTCTTCTACCCGTATTTCAGCCTACATATGTACGAGAAGAAAGAAACTATACTAAATTAACATCTCTTTGTACAAGTCTTCTTTAAGTATCATTCCAGTGAAGTGCATAACGAATTATACTAAAGGTTTACTGTCCTATCGACAATCTAACGTACTCTTGCATTGGTGTATGTGTGCAGTTTGACTACTGCAGTAGAATATATCACTCCATACTGGAGTGAGCCCAGTTTATTGCTTTTAATCAATACCAGTGTATTTACACGTTTACATATCTTGTTCTATCTAGTTCACTTAAGTTCAGTAACACCCATTTCAAAGCGATTACAGTTTATCATATGAATTTTCAATTAAAACAATTAGTCCCCTTTTTACATGGCTCAAAATCGTTGTCAATGGCCAGCGCAGATGTATTTAGTCTCTGTAATCTTTCATATTCCTCCTTTCTACCATTACCCATTCTGTTTTGCTCTTATACCTGTCAAAGTCTATTGATTCTCTTCACTTATCTTCTTGTCTACCTTTGTGTGGTATTTGGAAGGTGGCAACTCGAACTGCTGCACTCCGGTGCGAAGTTCTATGTTGAATCCAGGCAGACAGAAAGACAGACAGACAGACAGACCCGTTTTGATAAATTTGAATAAGGAAGGCATTTATAAGACAAATTTTGCCGCAAGATGACATCGTCATTTCGTAGTTTCCGCTGTACAACCGCTTTACACAACTAACAGCATGGTTAACAATAACACTAAAATAATATAAAATTCACATGCCAATTACTCAGTTATATATAAAAAAAACTACATACAATGCTTATGTGACTAATCATATATTAGTTCATAAAAATTTGTTAGTCCAGATATTGAGTGGCTTTTAAGTTGAATTCCCATTCTGATGATGTATGTGGAGTTGGTTTTTTTTGTAAGGTGGCTTTTTTTTCTTATGGATAATCCCCATCCCGGCATCAATAAATGAAAACAAAACACGTGGTTAGTACAGTGAAAAGTCTCTTTTCGCCAGCGGCGAATTCATTTTTTCAGTTGTACAATCGCAGATATATATATATATATATACATGTGTTATTTTGTATGCACATGTGTACATTAAATTTGTCAAACCAAAATAGACAATTGGTCATGGTTATGTTAACTAAACAGGTGAAGAACATTGGTAATTGGAGTTACGAACACAAGATATTCAGCGAAGAGACTCTTTTCAACAACGAATCATCAAGCTGTACAATCGTATATACACATTTGGTTTTTAAGAAATTATATCCGGCGAGGGGTGGAATTAGATCAAAGGTGTGAATACATGAAATGATATTAATAATGATAGTAGTAGTAGTAGTGGTAGTAGTATGAATTGCAATTAACATCTTTCTGATTATAATCATAGTTCAATATCAAGTGGCAAAACAATTAATGTCATATGTGTATAGAATAATAATACATATATGGTGTTAGATGGTTGGAGGCAATCGGCAGGAAGCCTTGGACAACCTAGGTTTCGTGCTAGTTGGCACTCGTCAGCAAGGCGTATCTGCAACCTTGAAGGAACTCATGCCCCTTCTGAGATTTGAACCCGCGTCCTACAGGAGGTCAATTGCGGGCCCGAACAGCTAAGTGGTAACGTCTCTGATTGCAGCACTGGGTGACGTGGGTTCGAATCTCAGAGGGGACATGAGTTCCTTCAAGGTTGCAGATACGCCTTGCTGACGAGTGCCAACTAGCACGAAACCTAGGTAGTCCAAGGCTTCCTGCCGATTGCCTCCAACCATCTAACACCATCAAATCAATGTGCACCGTGATGGCCAGCTAGCTAGAATGGTGGTCACATTACAACCTGACTGATAGAATTCAGTCTACAGCAATCAGAGGACTAGACGCATCACACTAGTTACTAGTGTCAGATCAAAATAATACATAGATTTTCGAAAGGGGTACATAATTGTGGGGTTAGTAGGCGAATATAAAATGTTACATAACATGGTGTGAAATCTGATAAGATAGAATTCAATATTGTAAAAATAAAAAAATGAATAATTTCAAATGACAAGTAGGGCAAGTGGAAACAATTCAGAGTGAGAATAGTAATAATAATAATAATCATGATAATAATATTCGTAGTAATAAGGGAAAAGTACATAGAATAACTAAATAAACGAAATAAATAAATAAATGTCTATCCTTCTACGGCCAAGGCAGAAATAGGGATTGTACATACTTCTTTTGTACACAAAGACCTGTCTAGCTGGCTTAAAGTCATGAATGACCAAGGCCTCCGCTGTCTTTAGAAGTCTATAACGATGAAAACGCGGCCACCAAGTTAGCATGCATTCTATATATGATCTTGAAATCATGGTCGGAGTTGGTGTGGAGTGACAGAAGTCGATCAGGTGTTCCAGAATAGAGCTTCGCACATACACACACACACACACTTCCTTTCTCCCTTGTAAAACCATGCTGTTGGAATATATGTTCCCGTCTCCGTGCGGTGGAAAGCGGCGTCCTCTGACTACGGCTAATATACCTTACCCCACAAGAGGATCAGTTGAATTGATAGATGCACACATAGGTGGGCAGACGGGGAGCTTATCTTTCTTTTACAAAGGTAGAGAACAACTTGGGGCTGGTGAACGTCATATGTAATTATTCTATACATGACATTAATTATTTTGCCACTTAACATTTAACTATGATTATAATCACAAATATTTTAATTGAATTTCATGTTACTACTAGTATTATTATTCTAATTTCATGTATTTCATATATATATATATATATATATATATATATATATATATATATATATATATATATATATATGATTGTACAGCTTGATAATAGATTCGTTGTTGGTGAGAGTCTCTTCTCTGAATATCTTGTGTTCTTAATGCTATAATGGGAAGTATCACTTACTACTTGTGAACTAACCTACTTTATGTGTGTACCAAACTACTGAATACAAAAATATTTTAAAATTTCAGAAAGTAATCGTCAGCTTGCTCTATGGGTAGGGAAAATTTGCAAAGAGAAGTTACAATGTCGAATTCCAGTCAAACTACAGTTTCCAGTGTCAACTCCATTATTGTCATCCATGGAAAGGAATAATACCTACACAGTGGAGACACCTTTGTAAGCGATTTATTATTTTTTCATTTCTTCTAACAGTTCTTTTCTAACAGTAACCGATTGCATACATGTACATGAATAGTTTACAAATCCCCATTGAGACATGAAAAACAGAAAATGTTCAGCGAAGAGACTCTTTCCGACAGCGAATTCATTCACATAGCTAGCGGTATTTATATATAATTATTTGATTGCATGGAGGATTTAATCATGAGCTGACATCAGTTAGAGAACCACTGGAAAACGTGGGAGTACTGGACAGTTGTTTCGTCCTAGTTTGGGACTCTTCAGAATGTACGCACCCACCGGGATTCGAACCCAGGACCTTCTAGTTACAAGGCTAGCTCGTAGACCACTGAGCCACTGATGGGTGCGTACTGCTGAAGAGTCCCAAACTAGAACGAAACAGCTGTCCAGTACTTCCAGGTTTTCCAGTGGTTCTCTAACTGATGTCAGCTCATGATTAAATCCTCCATGCAATCAAACAAAATCCATACAAAACTAATACTTGAAAATATAATTATTTATCTGTGTGTCTATGTGTATGAGGTTTGTCAAGTTTAGATGATTAATCAGGTAATACAAGAGGGAGATCTAATACAGAAACAAAGCTAATTAGACAGCGAATAGAGTAAGATTGAGTTAGTTAGTTAGTAAGTTAGATGACGTAATACAAGTGACTAAAATGTTTCAACTTAGGTCAGGGTAGCACAACAGAAGTAATAACAGGTAGAGAGAGACTGAGCAGAAGTGGAGTAGAGAATAATGCCATTTAGATTAGAACTGAAATTGAGTAAATAAGTTGGATGACGTAACATAAATGACTAGAAATTGAGTGTTGGTCAAATCAATAACAGTGGGGTAGTCAGGTGTAGAAATTAAATCGGGTGGGGGTACAGGACAAGAGGGTTGAAAATGAAAAAAATTATAGTTGAGAAGACAGAATAATACTAATGAAGAGACAATCACTACACTTGCAATGGACGTAATCTATTCAAGTGTTGGTTTGTACGGATTTCATTGGTTTAAGGATTTCATCATGAGCTGACATTAGTTAGAGAACCATTGGAAAACCAGCTGAGAGTACTGGACAGCTGTTTCATCTCAGTTTGGGACTCTTCAGCAGTAAGCGCCCACCGCCAGGGTTCGAACCCAGGACCTTCCGGTTACAAGACGAGCTCGTATGCCATTAAGCTACTGGGACCCGATCCAATGGTCCTTGAATTCTAACTTATGCCAATTCACAACATAGCGCGACCGCTAGCCAATGTCTTCGGCGAGTATTTGTCCTCACACCCGACCCACTGCACCCTACTGGTCATCACTTCCCACTGGAACCCAGCATCTCATTGAGATGCTCACTGGCGACTGGCCATATTCAGGTAGGCAGCTACCTGGGTTGGTTCTAGTGAGAAGTTATGGCCAGTAGAGTGCAGTAGGTCGGGTGTGAGGACAAATACTAGCCGAAGACGTTGGCTAGTGCCAGTCGCGTTATGTAGTGAATTGGCAGAAGTTAGAATTCATGCATTGGCTGGTCATTGGATCGGGTCCTGGTCGCTTAATGGTATACGAGCTCGCCTTGTAACCGGAAGGTCCTAGGTTCGAACCCTGGCGGTGGGTGCGTACTGCTGAAAAGTCCAAAACTAGGATGAAACAGCAGCTGTCCAGTACTCCCAGCTTGTTTTCCAATGGTTCTCTAACTAATGTCAGCTCATGATGAAATCCTGGGACGTGATCTGTCATATTACTCGACAAGTAAGTTCTACCTAATCTTTTCTCTTTTGGCCAAAGTATTCAGAAGGTTGATACAGTGGTCGATTATGACCCCAGTTGTAAAGTTGTGTGTACCACTTCCAGAATATGACAACAAATAGTTGGTGCTTCCACGTCACTTATTGGTTGATTGGTCGCAGGATTTCATCATGAGCTGACATTGGTTAGAGAACCATTTGAAAACCAGTCACAAAGAGTACTGGACAGCTGTTTGATCAGTATAGTCTGGGACCGGCTATTCAGCAATACGCACCCATCTCACTAGGATGCGAACGCAGGATCTTCTGGTTACCAGGCGAGCTGGTAGACCATTAAGCCACTGAGATCCGATCTAAAGTCCGGCCCATGATTTCTAACTTCTGCCAACTCACGATGAAATCTTCGATGCAATAAAACAAAAATTTCTACATAACCAACACTTGAAAATTGTTCTTTATTTGTTGCTTCATAGCCAGCGTGTTATTTGTTCGCATTTAGTTGTTGCTATGTAACTGATAATGCAATGAGGAGACGCATGAATTCTTGTTGCTTTTGCCCGGTGTGTTCGACAGTGTTTTCTATGCTATACAGAGAAATCCACGATAAATAATTCTTTAATTCATTTCCACACAATACTAGACTGAAAAAGCTGTCCAGTGCTGCTGCTGCCTGGTTTCCAATGAATGATTCTCTCTAAATGAGATTTGGTTTCGTGAAAAAATCGACACTGATAAATTAATTTGCCAATAACATGACATATAGACAAATCGACGGGGTGGCAATGGGGTCAACACTAGAACCTATCCTAGCCATTTTATACTTGCGAAACTAGAAAATCGGCCTTTGAAGGATGTTATTAATGAACGCGAATTCTATTGTCGCTACATGAATGATACATTTTTGGATTAAGAAAAATGGGGAGCAGGCAAAGGAACATGTTGGATAAATTTAACGAAGTTCTTCCTGCAATAAATTTTATTATTGAGCAAGAAAAAGACTATAGTATTTCACTCCGTAGACGTCCTTCTGACCAGAAAAAAGGATGGCGGAATAATAACAATAAGTGTATATCGAAAACCTACATCAACTGCTTGTCAGTATACACATTTTTTACAGCTTCGTGTCCTTGAAATACAAACGCAATATGATAAAGTGCTTGGTCCAACACAGAGAAAGAGCAGCAATCTCCTCGGATGAACGTCTTGATGAGGAAGTTATTAATATTAAACGGTTCGTTGCTGAGTGAAAATGGTTATCCAGAAAATTTAGTTGATAACAATATGAATCTAAAATCAAAGCAGCTCAAGGTACCAACAGTTCAAAATGCATTTCCTTGGGGACAACATCAACGAGATACTAATATAGCGCCTTAGAAATTAGGTGGTAAAACGAAGAGCGTTCAGTGCTGCTTTCGAATTGCGCTGTGTCTTCAAAACCACTCCTCTGTTGTGTTTGGGAATAAGAGACAAACTGAATAATTTCGCCTCTTCCATGTGTGTGTATCTACCAATTGAACTGCTCTTGTGAAGTGAGCCAGTTACTTGCATAGGCCATACGATTACGCGTGTTTCTCATCGAATTTCCGAACATCACCCTGTATGCACAGGGGTTGGTTGGTTAAGCAAAGGACAAACAAAATCCATACTCAGCACTATTCTATCTCACTCATCTTGTGGATACACAACACAAGACTGATTGATGTTAACCAGGCGGCCTTCAGGGTCATTTACCTACCGCATACCAACCAACAAATCTCAATTTCGCCTTAAGACTAGTTCGACTACTAAATATTTCTGAGACTGGCTGACTGGCCGTTGGAATCCATATTAACAAGCCTGATTTATTGTAGTAATTTATTGTAATCGTAGTATTAGTATTTCGAGATGACCGAATTACAAGAATCCAACCAAAACACAGAGAGGGCGGAATTCAGGAATTTGTATTTAGCGGTATTATATTGCAATTCATATATGAAACATATTAGCAATCAACAGTAAGTACTTAAACAATACAGAGATAGATATTGTCAATCACCACATTTATGCATCCAAAAGAAGTTAGTTGGTTCTGACTTTATCCTTCCCCGCTTGGTCATCCATCCAGGTTTGAATGATCCTGAATTTTTGTAGAATTTTCCTAATCTTAGTTGATATTCTATTTGCTATTATAACTTTATTATTATAATTATTATTTAAGCATCCTTAATGAACTGTGGTAATTCCATTGTGATCTTACTTTACAAATCCATATTAATTCAAAAGCACACTAATATTGTTATTGACTACTTCTATGTATATAAACATGCATATGCATATACAGATATGATTGTAGAGCAAGTCGAGGAGGAAGAGGAGGAATTTATCGAAAAAGCGAAATTTTTTGCTGGCTGGCTCAATTTTATTTTGTGTGTTTTATAGATTGAGATGTCTGAATGAATATTTTTGCTCACATATTACACGATATTAACATTTAAATTTTTTGTTTTCATTTATTTTGAAAAAAAAAAGTGGATTCTCAGTTTTTCCAATTGGTTCAGTTTCCTTAGTTTCTTCTTGTAACAATGAAGAAAAGGTTCAACGTGAAGATGTTTTATCTTCATTGAAGCCTGAAGCTGATACTGTTAATCGTGTGTGTGATAACCTTCATTTAGACGCTGAGGAGATAAAGTTGAAAGTCAAGGATATTGTCCCTGAAAGCGATGCTATGATGAATGGTTAGTTTCCATTTTTTTTTAGCCATTTGTACTTGGTTTTTTTCTTTGTCTGTGTACACAGTCTTCTGATTGGTTGTTTCGTCTCTTTGTGACTGTTTCTTGAAGGTCATATCATCTATCCACTATCTGCCAATTGAATCCGCCTACTCAAACAAAGTGTTCTGTGATTGGTTGTTGAGTCAGTCAGTCAGTCAGTCTTTGTTCCTGTTCTTGTTCATTTCTCATGACCAATATTCGGGGGACTTAAACATTGACGTAAATTACCGTCTACCAATTTTCGGCTAGCTAGCAGACAGCTCTTATCACACTTTAAAGTAGATCTTACAATCATCCGTTTTGTGTCACACTAGTGCATTGCTGTAGAATATCCAGATCCTAAGCATAAGTTTCTGTTGATGATCCCCTGAAACACCTTATATTATTTTACACACTTGAAAATGTTAATCCATAGTTTTGAAAATTAAAAATCTATGATGATAAGGTCACTAGACGGTAACTTGTATGTTAACCCCAAGGAAGTATTCAGAATTTCGAAGATGTTAGGTCATTTTTACATGAAAGTATACATGAGAGACTAAAGTGACGAATGATTAAACAGATTCACAACCTAAAACTAAGGAAATTATTCATATTATTGTGTTTGGATTCCGCATGGAAATTAGGGCTTAAGCAGGACATTGTATAAATGTTAGACTAGACTTAAGGTAGACCTTAAAATAACCACACTTATCAAAAAACTTCACTGCCTTATAACCTTAACCAATCTACTCGTTGATGTTTACCTTGCATTAATCCCGTGTGGGGTTGTAAAATAAGGTGAGCGATATAGAGGTTAGGCGTCGGTCCAGTGCTAGATAAGGTGGGAGGGGAAATCAATCGACAGTGAGGCTGTGAAGTTACACCAATTGAGATGATTAGGATATGTGTTATGTATGTCCAGTCATCGCTTTCCTCGACTGACGGGCAATGTTAGCTGACATTGGGTCAGGCTGGAAACGAGCTAGTGGAGGTCAAACCAAAACATGGCACCAGTTAATGATATCCACAACAGTTAGTTTAAGCCGGCTGATCACGTCTGGAGGTTTAGACGTCCTGATTGGTTGGGGTCCTCGAAACGGTAAAAACAAATGGAGGCTGGAAACAATTGGTGAACGAAATCTCAGCACGGATACAGAGGGCTGGTTTCGCATATGCCAGTTTACGCCGTCTCTGGCGTAGACGTGATATCCTACTGGGCGGGTGTACTGCCAAACAGTCCGCTCCGTCCTCCTTTACGGCCAGCAGTGAGACCTGGCCATTGAGAGTGGAAGACATGAAAAGGGTGACTAGCTGTCTTTGATCATAGGTGCCTGCGCTCTATCTCCCGTGTGTGTGAAGTGGTATAATAAGGTGAGCAATATTGAGGTTAGGCGTCGGTCGAGTGCTAGGTAGGTGGGAGGGGAAATTAATCAACGAGGTTGTGAAGTTACATAGACTGAGATGGTTAGGACATGTGTTACGTATGCCTAGTCATCCTCGACAATGGGCAATGTTAGCTGATATAGGTTCAGACTGGGAAAAGGCTAGCGGTGGTCAAACCGAAACACGGCTTCGTCAGTCATTGAAGTTCACAACAGTTCGTTTAAGCCAGCGAGCCAGTTACTTAGGAAGGTGTAGACTTCCTGACTGTTTAGAGTCCTCGGTACGGTAAAAACCAATGAAGGTTGGAAACAATTGGTGATATGGCTGGCTCAAAATTGTTGTCAATGGCTGATGCAAATGCATTCACTCCTTGTGACTTATGATTTACAATGAAACTATATTGTTCTTCGTTAATCCTATTCGTTTGTCTCACACCTCTGTTTACTGTCTCTCTCTATTATGCATTTCTTCTGCTTACTTCTCTTGCTTTGTGTGGTACAAGGAGTGGAGTGTGGCGACTTGAACTGGTGGACATCGGTGCAAAAGGGTTCTATGTCGAAAACAGACAGACAAATAGACTTTGCAATAATGGACACTTTTTGCTAAATTCCTATAGCTTAAAGTAGTAGTCACTTATAAAAAAGGTGATATTTTCGGGTAATTATTACAGCAGTCAGCTAATTTTTTAACCACCCCCCCTATTACATGGCTGATTTGTTGTTTAGTGTCGATTTTATTGAACAACCAGTTCTTACATCACCAAAGGTTAAGCGTCGTTACGTTACGTTGCTTTACGTTAGGTGCCTTTGGAAATTGATCTTTCAGGTGGGTTTTGTTTGAGAGATCTTATACTGCTCATTGGCCTGTAAGTAGTGTTAGGCTAAACCTGAGATAGATCTACTATAATCACCACAGTGATTGAAAACTTCACCGCGTTATGAACCTTAGCAGAACACACTCTACGTAACGAGTAAGTACTGAAAAACCTGAATTAGAGGAAAAAAAGACTTGAGACGCGGGAAGTGTGTGTGCCTGAGACGGAGTTGTATTTTGCACTAATGAAATATCAAATTTAACAAATAAATAAAGCTGTTATACAACTTATCTGCTGCGTTGACTGCTTGTAGGCTCAAAGAGTGCGCTGAATGAGAAAGCACAACGATAGAGCGAACCTAGTATGCACAGGAGAGTCACCAATCAAAAGATGAAGGAAGCACTACAGAGTGGGTGAGTGGATGCGTTGAAATAAAAGTTCAAAGTTTCAATGTACACTACAACATCGTCCTGGCTTTTTCAATCCACTTCAGCTGGTTTCATGCTTTTCCATAGGCTCTTCTTACACACACTCTCTCTGATCATCACACCCTTGAAGCCACACCATAATCGTGGATTACTACTAGTCACCCAGCGGCCTCCTTAGCGAGTGTTCAATCCACCTCTTCACTTTCTCCTGCATATTTGTTGGGCGATTGGTTCTTTTTTTGTTTGTTCGCATAGTTTCTTGTTGGTGATTCTTTCCGGCCGCGTCATCTGATCTTCAGTATAGAGCGAAGACATTTGTTGATAAAGGCAACAAGCTGTTGGAAACATACTTTGTGACCCACCCGTAAAAGTTCCTGATAGGTAGAGAAGAACTGACCGACTTGACGTGTTTGTATTGAAAATCCGAGTGAATTTTGTTGTTGATGCTGAGTGACGAAGATTTTCAGATTGATTTCAGGCTGATGAATGTGTTTCTCGCCTTCCCGATTCTCGCTCGATTTGACATCCTCGTCCGCTCCTCCTGTAGTTGAGACAATGCTCCCTAGATAAGTGAATGAAGTAACCTCTTTCAAATCCTTCCCGTTGATGGTGATCGACGTTGGATGTTGTTGCTGTTGTTGGTTGGTTATTTTCAAAACCTCCGTCTTGTCTATGTTTACCTGGAGTCCTGTGTTTGCTGTTTCTTCGACCAGTTTGTCGGTTTTCGCTTGTAAGTCTTCGATTGTGTGTGACATCAAACATAAGTCATCCACTCGCGAAATCCACGTCTTCTAGGTTCTTCACGTCGGTCAGTCCAGGATATCCCTGTCTTCTCGTTTCCTTACTGACTGGAGGAAAGTTTACCTCGTGAAACTACCAAAGAAGGGCGACTTAGGACTCTGCAAGAACTGGCGAGGAATCATGCTCCTGTGGATGCCAAGTAAAATCCTGAGTCTCATCATCCTGGAGAGAATAAAGGACGCACTGGAGACAGAACTCCGACCAGAACAAGCTGGCTGCATTCAGGAAAGGCAAATCATGTACTGACCAAATTGCAACTCTACGCATCATCATCGAACAAAGCATGGAATGGTAATCAAACCTCTACCTCAACTTTATAGACTTCGAGAAGACCTTCGACAGCGTTGACCGCGAAGTAATTTGGAAATTACTCGAGTACTATGGCGTACCCCAAATATTCATCAACCTTACTCAACAGCTGTACGACAACGGCAAAGGTCAAGTAATCCACAACGGAAGACTCAGCGAGGCGTTTGGAGTAAAAACAGGAGTCAGACAAGGGTGCTTATTATCACCCACGATGATATTCTTAATTGTGGTGGACTGACCGGATTATGCGTTAGACTGTGGGGAACGAGAAGACAGGGATATCCTGGACTGACCGACGTGAAGAACCTAGAAGACGTGGATTTCGCGAGTGGATGACTTATGTTTGATGTCACACACAATCGAAGACTTACAAGCGAAAACCGACAAACTGGTCGAAGAAACAGCAAACACAGGACTCCAGGTAAACATAGACAAGACGGAGGTTTTGAAAATAACCAACCAACAACAGCAACAACATCCAACGTCGATCACCATCAACGGGAAGGATTTGAAAGAGGTTACTTCATTCACTTATCTAGGGAGCATTGTCTCAACTACAGGAGGAGCGGACGAGGATGTCAAATCGAGCGAGAATCGGGAAGGCGAGAAACACATTCATCAGCCTGAAATCAATCTGAAAATCTTCGTCACTCAGCATCAACAACAAAATTCACTCGGATTTTCAATACAAACACGTCAAGTCGGTCAGTTCTTCTCTACCTATCAGGAACTTTTACGGGTGGGTCACAAAGTATGTTTCCAAAAGGCTGCAGACCTTTATTAACAACTGTCTTCGCTCAATACTGAAGATCAGATGACGCGGCCGGAAAGAATCACCAACAAGGAATTATGGGAACAAACAAAGCAAGAACCAATCGCCCAACAAATATGCAGGAGAAAGTGAAGAGGTGGATTGAACACTCGCTGAGGAGACCTCTGGGTGACATCGCGCGCCAAGCCCTCGAGTGGAACCCGAAAGGGAAGCGGCGTGTGGGACGTCAGTTCAAGGGTGACATGGAGGAGATCGTGTGAAGAGGAGTTGAAAGAATATGGATTAACATGGATGCAGGCGAAAAGTATAGCAGAAGACAGAAGTGGCAAGTGGAGACGTGCAGTTGAAGCCCTATGTTCCGCTAGGAACCCAAGGGATCAATAATAATATAATAAATAAACTCCTCCTCTAGTTTCTCTATAGAGCATATTCTCCTCGCTCTATAGTACAGAGTCTTGACTAGACCACCTTTAAAGCTATTTGGACAAAAGCTATTAAAATGCAAGTATTGTCCTTTCCATGTGGACTTTCGATAAATTGACTTTTGAAGACTACCGTCTTCTATGCGTTCCATGGCGATGTCGAGGAAGTGAAACTTTCCATCACTTTCATGTTCCATAGTGAAGTCAATATTGGCGTGTGCACCATTGAATAATCTTAGTAAGTGTGAAGCATGACTTTTATTTTTGCACACTATAAATGTGTCATCAACATAACGACAGTAGGAAGATGTTTCGTCGATTGCATGCTTCAGCTTTGTTCTTTCAAGGTTTGACATGAATATATCTGCTAGAACATGGCTAAGTGGACTAACCATAGCTACACTATCTATTTGGCGGTAAAAAGTGTTGTCAAATGGGAATTGCACATTCATGGTACACATAAGCAATAGGCGTTTGAATTCCGACTCTGAGAGTGGGAGAAGATTGGACTGCTGACAAATGATCTCAATAGTTTCATTGATTGGAATTATTGTGAATAGGGAGGTTACATCAAATGACACCATGAAGTTATTTAGGACGTTCATGTGTGGCTCACACTTTCAGAGAAATGAAATGAATCTTTCAACGTGTACACGCCTAGCCATTGACGAATATGTTCCAACTTCTCCGCAAGCCAACGTGCAACCTTATGTTCGGGCGAGTCGATCATCGAAAGTATGAGTCTCAGGGGGACTTGTTCTTTGTGTATCTTCGGAAGGCGAGCGGGACCCTCGGGGTTTCAAATCATTGTACGTGTTGTTGTCAGTCAGTTTCTTCTTTAGAAGATCTCTCAAGGCGTTTGTGACACGTTTTTCGACTGCATCTGTCTTATCTTTCTGGTAACTGTCATTTAACACAGCTTTCATCTTTGCGATGTAGTCCTCTTTGTCCATTAGGACCACACCTGAGCCTTTGTCAGATCTCAATATAACAATTTTGTCATTATTCTTGAGAGCTTTCAATGCTCTTCAAAAAGGACTTTGGAATATTACATTGGAGAAATGAGGTATTGATTTGCAACGTCGACGAGCTTCGATTTGAACCAGCTCCTCTTGTCATCACCAACTGGAGTGAGATCACTCAACTGATAGAATAAGTTTTCGAATTGAACTGCGACATCCGTTCTTTCGACAAACTTATTTGGGATGTGAAAGTTAAATCCAAGAGAAAGTGCTTCCATTTCTATGCGATTTAACTTCAGACTTGACAGATTACAGATAAACTCCTCAGGATTCTCTGGGAAAACGTCACACAATTTCTCCTTTGTCAGGGATTTCGAAAGAGTTTCGTAAAAATTTCCACATGTTTTCTGTTGAAGTCCTTGGATGAAATTTATGAATTTGATCCGACATACTATACTCGAACTATTGACGACACCATCGAAAGATCGGGCTTCGGTTCTCAATTATATTTTGTGTTTTTTATAAATAAGTCTGTTTTTCTACTTCCTTTGTTTAGAGAATCAATATTTACTCAATGAAATTTTTGTCTACAGACAAGCGACGAATCGTGGCTTCGTTTCATATTCTGTCACAAAGTCTACAATGAATGCTGACAGTCCTAGTCATCTAAGTCCAGTAGAACAAGAGTCATGTGCTACTACTACTGTTAAAACGGGGCTTGACGTTTCCACTCAAAATGACAGTATTGATTTATCAGTTTTCGAAAAATCAATTCTACTATTTGAGGAGTTTGCGAATTCACCGAGAATCGGAGGTAGGCATAATTGCGAGTAACTTTTCAACTATTTCATCCATAAATTTTTGTAATGAAGGTAGTAAATCGTTTGGTATTTTGTAATAAGTGATCTTGTAAGATGGATAAAATGCTGTTTTGTATGATATCTTTATCAAATTATTTTATACAAGCCTTGAAATGTGACGTTAAGAATGATAATTACGAAAAAAAGAGGATTCTCTCAAAAAAAACCTCAAATGCAACTGCTATGTACTCATCGAGTAGTTAATAGTCCTGACGCGGAAAGAGGGAAGTCAGAAGACCACCAGGTTTACGATGATACTTGTATTTTCCAGACAAGGAAAATAAATGTCACACAAGAGTGTTGTGAGTGAATAAGTACGAAATGTACGGACAAGTATGTGAACCAGAATAGATAAAAGTGTCTAATACAAAAGTATATATGAAAATGGCTAATACACATAAACCAATAGATGACAGTCTTAACATGATTGGTTGTAATGTCATATGACAACAAGGCCATACATATTTATTTAGTAAGTGGACAGACAAAAGCAGAATGTCAGTTATAATGGAATATCGATCCATATACACATAGCAAAATATAATAGACTGTCAAAACAAACACACAACATGTGGGTACATATCACCTCCCCTCTTGAGAAGATTGATGATTAGTAGCGTGTTTTCTTGGGGGTTTATCTGGAACCGTTGAGCTTGTTGTTGACGTCTGTCGCTTCGTCTGCTTGTTGGGTTTGCGGCTTCGGCTTCGTCCAGAATTGTCCGACATTTTATGCTTACTGGATGCATTGCATAGAGAGTTGAGTGGGACATCAGTCAGATTGAAACGATAGAACCAATCAAGTCCCAAAAGATTTAAATCACTCTTGGTGACGTAGCAAATTCCTGTGGATTTAATGTTACGGAATGAAACAGAACATTTGAGTTCCCCAATTGGTTTGAGGCGCCCACCACAGGCGCTGACAAGAGTCTGGGGAGTATTTGTGATAGGTGGTCTGCGAATATCAGTAACAGCAAACGTTTCTTGACAAAGTAGCACAGGGAAGAATTAAAGAAAAAACTGATAAATTATGTGAGACTGATAATCACAAAGCTGGATAAACGATCAGGAGTAGTCCTCCTTGATAGAAATGGTGGATATATTAAAAAGATGAATGATATATTGAAAAATACACAGAAGTTTCAAAAACTTGAGGAGAAGAAAGATTTCAATAACAAAATGGAGAATGAATTAACCAGACGTTTGAAGAAACTAAGCGAGGAGTAGATATTTTCTGAAAGTTTATATGAAGAAATCAGTCCACAAGGGGGCACGTATACACCCAGATTGTATGGCCTACCTAAAGTGCATAAACCAGGGGTACCATTAAGACCATTAGTTGATATGCAAAATTTGCCCTACCATGCTCTAGCTAGATGGTTAGTAAATATTCTCAAACCTTTGCATGAGAAGATAGTGAATATTTGAATTTGTATTTGAATTCGTAGACAAAAACAAAGATATTAATATTAAGGTCAAAACCATGATATCTTTGGACATACCATCGTTATTCACAAATGTGCCTCTAATAGAAACAGTTAATTACATAGGCGAACAAGTGGACAAGCTGTCGATAAACATTGGCATACATACTGAGATCCTAAAAGAATTGATATTAAGATGTACCATGAATGTACATTTCAAATTTAACAACATGCCTTACAGACAAGTGGATGGGGTGGCGATGGGCCCTCCATTGGGTCCCATTCTGGCTGATTTCTTTCTAAGTAAGCTAGAAAATGGACCTCTGAACAACCGTATCATTAAGTTCCAATTTTATCGCCAATATATGGATGATACCTTTATTCTTTGATATAATGGTTCTGATAAGAGTACAATAATCACTGAAGTCAATCAAGTACATTCGGCTATGAAATTCACATGTGAAGAGGAATGCCAAGACAGAATTGCCTTCCTGGATATAATTCTGGCAAGAAAACCCGATGATAGTATAAAAAGAAATCTGCATAGAAAAAGTACGTGAACAGGACAATATACACACATTTTCACAGCTTCGTTCCTGTCAAGCACAAAAGAAATTCAGTGGAGCCGTAACTTGGCCACAGAGTTAATTAGAGCTATATGCTCAGGAGAAGTAATTGAAGATGAATTGAGCATTGGATATGATACTTTGATCAAAAATGTCTAGTTGTCCCGACAAATTTATGAAGAAACACATGAAAAAGAAAGCGGCGGAAAAGGACTACTCACTATCCATCCGTAAACAAGAATCCTCTTCATATACGACTACAATTCATGGGCGATATACCAAGCGAGATAATTGCAAAGAAATTAAGAAAATCAGTTGAGAGAACTTTTAATGCTGGCGGCGAACTACACGTATTATTCTCCACACGACTGACGGTGATTCCTCGACTGACAGATGAAGTACCTAGACCAGTCACTTCAAATTGTATCTACCAATTCAACTGCCTTTGTGGGGCGAGTTATATTGGCCGTTGCTCTAGGAACTTGATTTTTCGTGCTCACTCGAGAACATCTCCCACTTTGGCTAAGTAAAGGTGTAGTGAAAACTATTGACAGCTCGATATTGGAACATCTGGTGCAATCAGGACACAAAGCCAGCCAGCGTAGATGAATCCTTCTCTATCAACATCCACCGGGTGCCTAACAAAATTGCCAAAATCATCGAAGCATCGCATGCTCCAAACAGCAGAGGCTATTGCCATTCGCCTCAAATAACCAGCGCTCTGTTTTCAAAAGAAGCAAGTCCAGCCCCTACTATTATCCTGACCTTCAGTAGAAACTATAAACTCATGAATTTGACATTTATAAGGTTATATTTGTAAAATCTCAGCGAAATTGAAATGATTAATTCCAACTTTTCGTTCGGCAATCTGGTTCGAACTTCTTCAGGGAAATTAATCGAAATTAACATAAAGTTTACATATAAAAGGGGACACCTCTTGTTTTTTAAAATTTTATCCATCCAAGAGTCATGCAACAGGTATCAACATGTATAATATATAATAATGTGTGTATAAAAGTACATCTCTTGTTTGAAATTTGAATCAAGAAACAGCTATCATTGGGTATACTAAACAAAACAAAACAAAAATTGTATGAACTATGATCAAAAAATTTTTTGACCTCAGACTTTCAAAATTTGTCTTCTTTATTGAATTGAATTTTTGATTTTCCCGTCGATTGTTTGGACCAAAGTGCTCGGTCTCAGGTTGACATGTCGGCTTCTTGTGCAGATGCTTCGACGATGTCTGGGGATTTGATTAGTATACAACTGGTGGATGGTGGCTAGCAGTGGAATCCAGGATGCGCATTTCGTCCTATTTGGGACTCCTCAGTTGGATGTACCTGCATTTCTCAGTGAGTGATGACGTTCCCACCGAAGCTCGAACCCAATACCCATTGTTTGTCTTCTTTTGTTAAAATATATGTGTATATGCAGTATACAATGGTGTGTGTGTGTGTGTGTGTGGGTGAACAGTCATAAAACATTTCATTCATTGGGAAATACAAAAACCTCTATTATAATGAATTTGCTATTCTCATATGAGCTGTGATCAAGATTTGACCGGATAGTTACAAAATAATTGAGATTTTTATAAATTTGTTATTCTCTCCATAAGAAGACGTAGACAATCGGGAATTTGACCAAGTGTGACTACTTGTTCATACATATCAGATTTTATTTTATTTATTAGTCAGGATTTGCTATGCATCAGCTAATATCACACCTTCACGTCTGTTTAAACAGTTGGGATTCACCCATATATGTAGGGCTTCTGCAGTCAGTCTTTCTTGATATGAACCAAAACCTCATTGTTACCCTTATTTTGTCAACCTTTATGATTTTATACTAAACCTACCAATTCTGTAGCATTTTATTACAATTTACAATTTAGCCTTTTTATTTTATCATTAGACATTATCGGTCAGCCCTCAAATCCAGTGCCTCCTTTGTTAATGTGTATTTGTATGTATTTTGTGGTTATCGCATTTTCTCACTCCAAGGACACTTGTATTCTGTTAACTACAAAACAACACTATATCACCTAATTGTTCATTCACACTGCATCACATGTTTTCTGACTATACACCCTATACACATTAAATTGACTATGCTTAACTAATGGACTATCATCTCAACTTACACATGCACCCCAATACAGTTTCTGATATTATTTTCATTTGCCTTTACTGGCTATATGTACTCTATTATTCATGGATTTATAACTGTAGAGCCTGAAGAAGAAGTTATCGAAACCACAATTTTTTGCTCAAAATCTTGTTTTGATTTCTATATGGGGATTTTTCATTTACTTTCTATAAAACCTTAGTCTTATCAAAGTCGATTTTGCGTCCCGTTTCTATTGAATGTAGTGCAATCGCTGAGTTGTTTTCTAGCTTCTTCAAGTCTGCAGAGCTCTTTGGAACCACCTTTAGACATTGTTTATGCTCTTTCACTCTTATATTTACCTGTCTGGAAGTTTCTCTTACGTATACTGCGTTACAATCCCCACAATTGATCTGGTATACGTAATTCTGCTGGTTTTCTTGTTCTATTTTATCCTTAACCTTCACCAGTAAAGAGCGTAAGGTGTTAGATGCACTAAAGTACACTCTTATGTTATGTTCGTTAAGGATTCGCTTTATTTCATCGGATGTTTCTTTGCGGTAAGGAACCACCGCTGTACTAACCCAATTCTTAGCAGCAGGTTTTGATTCATCCTAATCTTCACATTTTAAGTATCTTTTTATGAAGGTTTTAGGATAATTATTTGATTCAAGAGTAGATTGAACTAATTTTAGTTCCTTGTTAATATCTTCCTCCTCAGTAACTAGACATTTGGCTATGTTGATCAGATTCTTGGCCACAGTTACTTTGGTGGTAAATGGGTGAGCTGAATGGTAATCTAGGTATCTATCTGAATTTGTCGGCTTTCTGAAAATGTTTATTTTTAAATTTGCCGTCTAATTTGTAATATTATCCTTCCTAATTCTTCTGACATTCAGCTTATTTTATGTTGATGCGATTCAGCTGTAATCTATCAATATTATTGATTCGATGTTATTTAAACAGCAACATTAATGTCGTTCATAACACTAACTCATTCATACACTATAATGTGTATATATAACCGTAGAGCCTGATTATGAAGAGGTTATCGAAAAGAGTACTCTTTGTTCAGTATCCATTCATTTAAAAATTTTAATGGGCATTTTTATTCGGTCAAAAAGGATCCACAGAGGGCGTAGTAATCGATGTAGTTGTAACGACGGGAATTTTTCACAATGAATATCATCAGAACATATATCGTTTTTACTATTTCACTATCACACTACGGAATGTATGCTACAAAGTTATTTTGAGAAATCGTGTCAGTGGCAATGAGGACGGGGCTGGGCGTTATATCCTGAATCGACAAGAGTTTGAATTCCATTCTTATCTAGCTTGAGCTCGATTTCTGGTGAGGCTACTGGAGCATATTGCTGACGAGTCTTGAAATAGTAAAAAAAGAAATAGCTATCCAACCCTTTCTAAACTTTTATGTTTCTGTGGTGAAGTTTATCGGATTCTCTCTAAACTCATGAAAGACATGAAATTTTCTCAAATTTTACATTCATCACAATGAAGTGTATCTCATATAGGAGCAAGGAGAAGCTCATCTTAATTCATTTTTTTTTTATTTTGAGTCTTAAGTTAAATGGATAACAAGCAGTCTGTCTCAACTGCTGATATGTACTCATATAACATGTGTGTGTTTGTTTTTGACAGTCTGTTATATTTCGCTATGTGTATATGGATCGATATTCCATTATAACTCACAATATAGATTTTGTCTGTCCATTAATTAAATAAACAATGTATGACCTTGACATCTAACATGATATTACAACCAATCAGAATCCAATGATGGTAAGAAAAAACTACCAATCTGTCTTATTGATTCATGTATATTAGTCATTTTCATATATATACTTTTGTATTGTACGCCTTTTTACACACACACACACACACACCTGTTCACACCCGTTCGGACACTACGTACCCTTTGATATAAGAATAAAACTTGTGCACTGTGGTAGAGTGTAATTCCATTATGGGTAAATTTTGTTTTGATAAAGTCTCACAGTGTTGTTATACAGTAATGTTTACTGATGACCATGTTTCGAGCACAATTTATTGCCACTCATAATCACATCAAGGTAATCACACGACTTCCTAATTTCATTTATATACTTCCATTACTTTTCACTTGATTTTCACTTGATTCGATTGGCAGTAGTTGTATTTTCCATATTTCAGGTATGAGCGATGACTCATTCCTATTGCATGTGTTGGGTGTAGACTCGATGAACAAGGATTCAGTAATCAACCTCTCTCTCCACCTACCTAGATTACTTTTTAGAATTTTAACCCTCTCCCACCCTATTGTGTGGTTGTGTGATAGCGCATGCATTGCAATTGCTGAGCTTTTTTCTAAATTACTTATCTTTTCAGGGTCAATCATTCTTACCTTAGCTAAATTCTTATGTTCTGACAATCTGACTACCCCTGACCTACTAGTTTGACCTATGTAGTTGACCTGACTCACAGTCATTGCAGGGTATTTTGTAAATTATATTATTTTGTATAATTTGGTCAACCGGTAGGGTCGTTTAACCTACAGAGCTTGTCCTATCTGAGTGAGTTTTTAGGTTTAAACACAACTACCAGCCTAATTCCTGCTTTATTGAGAATCTTACGTAGGGAGTGTCTCTCATATCCCCTCCTTATATAGTATAACAGTGGATTACTTGCCATATAAGGAGGGGATATCTGAGATCCTACGTAGGATTCTCAATAAAGTAGGAATTAGAGTGGTGGCATTGAAACATACAAACTCACTTAGGTACGACAAGATCTGTAGGCTAAAAAATATTGTCGGTTCACCCAATTAGACAAAATAATATAATTTAAAAAATACCTTGCAATGACTCTGAGTGAGGTCAACTACATAAGTCAAAGTAGTAGATCGGGGGTAATCAGATTGTCGGTACATAAGAATTCAGTGGCTTAGGTAAGAATGGTTGACCCCACCAGAGAAGATGAGTAATTTAGAAGAAAGCTCACCACTACATTGCACTGTATGCATGCATTAACACACAACCACACAATACCATAGTGGGTGGGAGAGGGTTAAGATTCTAGGAAGTAATCTGTGTAGGTGGGGAGACAGAGAGAGAGACTGATTACTGAATCCTGACTGGTTCATTGAGTCCACACCCAGCACATGAAGTAGAAAATATGGAGAATACCACTACTACCAATCAAGTCAAGCGATGAAAAATAATGATGGAATTATATAAACGAAATTAGAAAGTTGCGTGAGTGAGCAACTTGGTATGATTGTGATCCATTATGAAAATTGTGCCCTAAGCGTGTGATCATCAGTAAACATTACTGTATAACACCATTGTGAAACTTTATCAAAACAAATTTTTCCCATCAGGGATGATTAGATTATTATTATTATATCCTTTAATTCCTAAAGGAACATAGGGCTTCAGCTGCGCGTCTCCATTGCCTTCGGTTTTCTGCCAACTTTTTCACCCAGCTCGAAGTCTGCCCACATGCTTTCATCTCCTCTTCACATGATCTCCTCCAAGTCACCATCTTGCTGACAAACAACACACCGCATCCTTTTCGGGTTCCACTCGAGCAATGGCTTGTCTAGTGATATCACTCACTTGATGGTTTGTTTTCTCAGAGTATGGTCACAATCCAATCCACCTCCATTTCTTTGTGCTGATATTTGTTGCACAATGAGTTCCTGCTGTGTTGGTTCGCTCATTGACAGAGATCCCGCCCTGTTGCTGATCTTTTCTGGCCGGCCGGCCGGCCATCTGATCTTGAGTAGTGAGCGAAGACAACTGTTAATGAAGGTCTGTAGTTTGTTGGAGATGGTCGTTATGACGCGCTGGTCAAGTCTGTGATTCGTATAGTGAGTAGCGCTGACTGACTTCACATTGGAGTTGAAAATCCGGATCTTATTCTCATTTTGATGCTGAGTGGTGAGTGTTGAACTCCACACAGACTTGAGAGTAATGGAAGCTTGTCTTGCTTTCCCGATCCTCACTTCTTTGATATCCTCGTCAGTTCGGTCCGCGTGTAGTTGAAACGATGCTTCCGAGGTAGGTAGGTGGGTAGGTAAAGCAGGTTGTTTCTTTCAGGTTCCTCTGATTTATGCTGGTTGATTGTTGTCTGTTGCTGTTACTGTTGGTGTTGGCCGGGAATCTTTATCACCTCTGTTTTATCTATATTCACCTGGAGTACTATCATTTGTGGATGCTTTTTCTGGCAACTTGTTGCTTTTCACCTGCATATCTTCCAGTTTGTGGGAAATCAGACATATACATCACATCGGCCAAGTCCGAATCCTCCAAGTATTTTGTGAGGGTCCATTTTATGCCTGTTTCCTCGCTGCCCAGCCCGCTGTCTGTCGCATTATCCAATCTACTGCAATCAGGAAGATCATTTGCGATAGCAGACAGCCTTGTCTCACTCCCGTCCTCACTTCGAAGGCTTTTGTAAGTTCTCCGTTGTGGATTACTTGTCATACAGGCAGCATTGTCGTATAACTGTTGGATGAGATGTATAATTGTCGACGGGACCCCTTGGTAGTAGCGAAGTAGTTTCCAAATCACCTGTCGTTCGACGCTGTGCTGTCGAAGGCCTTTTCAAAGTCGATGAATTTGAGACAGAGAGGTGACTGCCATTCTAAGCTTTGTTGAATGATGATCCGTAGTGTGGCGATTTGATCAATTCATGACTTGTTTCTCCTAAATCCAGCCTGTTCCAGTCGAAGTTATCATCCAGGTGTTGGCTTGTTTGATTCTCTCCAGGATGAGATGTGGCTTAGTATTTCGCTTGGGATGGACAAGAACAGATAATTAGTTGCAAAAAACACATTTTTAATATTTAAAATTTCACGCATAAATGTTTACAATTCTAATCTCGGCTAATAATTTTATTCTCACTATCTGCTTTATTTCAAAACACTCGTTTAGATCAATTCGTTTTCGTTGTTGAAGATATAACACCTCAAGAAGAGAAGGGTGATGATGAAGGCATGCTGTGTGAAGTCAATGCAATTCCCTGTCATATTCTACGGAGTCCGAAAAGACTTTCACCGCTTTTTATAAAACTGCATTACAATACCGATTTGAATCATTCGCAGTAATTCTACGGACACGGCTTGATGTTTTCTTCCAGTCTAATAAATGAATAAATTTGTTACACCGTAACGTGTGTATTTTTCCTGATTGTGGGTTGCTTTTCTAGCTGTTTCCTTATTCACTACCAGAACCGCTTCTTTTTTCCATTATGGATAAGATTTTATTTTGATAAACTGTCACACAGTAGCATGATATGGCGAATTTGTCACATCCAAGATTGGACATAGTGGCACGTTCTCTTTGTGCACTTTCGGTAGACCATATAAACAGGGAATCATGGAACTGGTGGGAGGGGGTTGTATTTGCTCGAATAATTCAGAGCTGAAAATCGATTCGTTCTTCATCTCTTCTTCTTCTTCAGCATTTGCGTTATCTTGCCTTCAATGTGTTCCGTTTGGTGTTTCTGGTTACTTCCTCTGATACGACTGATAACATGTTATCGATGTAGTCTTAGCAATCCATCGGGGTGGGTCAGAACTAAGTCTCTATTCTTTAGAATCTTACATTGTTGCTTTCTTTTCTCTGCTGATATCAATCTGTCGACATTTGGTTTCGTGTTGATGTACTGATGGCATCTATTCAATATTGTAGACTTGGATTGTTCATCTGATTTGTTAGACACTGGGCAAAAGTCATTTGTCTTTTGGATCAGTGCTTCAAACTCGACTTTAATATCCAAGTCACTCAAATTTGTCGAAATATTACACAGGATTTTGGACCCAATGACAAGGCTTGCAATTGGACAGGAGTCATTTATATACTAGAGTAGTTGAAAACGTATTTCTCTGGTGTGGCAGGAAAACGTGAATAAGTGTCAGAGGCTATTCCAGCGAGTTCCAGGTTTACATCTTCACAACGTCTTCTTGAAAGTGAATCAGTGTAGTTCACGAAATTTCACGGCTCATCTTCTGTCAGTTCAAATACAGCATGTGTTCTTAGTGAAATATTTCTTTCTATCTCTGGTAGTCGAGATTGTATTTCATCGATGACGTTCAGTGTATGACGTTTCAAAGAACGATGATTTGGGTGGATATGATTGCGACAAAGACATTTACAGAAGTGCTTGGGATATTCTTTCTTATCAATACAGCTCTTCAGAAAACTTGTATTCTTGTATTCATTATGGTAAGTTTCACAGCAAAAACTTAAGAAACGTATCAAGTTCCTTCAAATCATCGAAGATACCCGTTGAGTCATGATGAAAATAAAAGACAAATTCAGCGGAGAAAATTTTATTTCGACGAAATCACAGGTGTTATTCAATAATATTAAGTGATGCGACCACGTTTCCAGCACAAAGTAATGCCACTCATAATCATATCAAGTCACTCAATCACTCACTCAAACAACTTTCTTGTTTCCTTCATTTATATACACTTGAGTGGAATTGATGATTAGACATTTGAATACAAATCAACCAATATGGGATAATGTACATTTAGAAATAATAATAATAATATGAGTGTTATGAGTGATCAATTAGAATAATCAGATGGGAAATGAGACGAATGTTTTATTTATAGTCAAAATAAGTGAGTAACTTGTTAGAATGTTGTGATGATGTACGTGAATTGAATTGAAATAGAATACAATTTGAGATTATTTATTATCCTCCTCTGATTTCACTGACTGACTGACTGATTGATTGACTGACTGGTGGTAATAATATCTTCCATGTATATTTCTGGTATTTGCATTGAGTCATTTCTGTTGCATGTGTTGTGTTGTGTGTAGACTCGATGAACCAGTCAGGATTCCGTAATGAATCTCTCTCTGTCTCCCCACCTACACAGATTACTTCCTAGAACCTTAACCCTCTCCCACCCACCATGGTATTGTGTGTTTGTGTGTTAATGCATGCATACAGTGCAATGTAGTGGTGAGCTTTCTTCTAAATTACTCATCTTCTCTGGTGGGGTCAATCATTCTTACCTAAGCTAAATTCTTATTTTCTGACAATCTGACTACCCCTGGCCGATCTACTAGTCTGTTACACCTATGTAGTTGACCTCACTCAGAGTCATTGCTAGGTATTTTTTAAATTATATTATTTTGTCTAATTGGGTCAACCGACAATATCGTTTAACCTACAGATCTTGTCGCATCTGTGTGAGTTTGAAGGTTTGAATGTCACCACTCTAATTCCTGCTTCTCTTTTAACAGCATTCAGCCTAGACATCTCTTAGTTTTACTGCCGTGCTCTAGGCGAAGCCTGTCTACCAGATTTCGCATGTAGTTTGAACGTCTGGATTGGAGATCATCTATCTATTCAGACTTCTTAGAGGAAAACTATGACCATATTCCTTTTTTAGTGCCATGCGTCTAGTCCTCTGTTTTCTGCAGACTGAATTCTACTACTACTACCAGTCAACATTGCAATGTGGCAACATCATACTTAGGGGACTGATTGACTGACTCTCCATTATGGTCCATTCAGAATTGTTATTACTAGATGGTTGGAGGCAACTACCCAGAGGAAGCCTTCCACCTAGATTTCGCGATTGTTAGCGCTCACCAGTCAGTCAGCAAGGCGTATCTGCAACCACGTTGAAGGAACTCATTTCCTTTCCTGTGAGTTTGTTTCTATCCTTAGAAACCGATTCTAAGTAACTTACTATTATACATCTAGGAATATACTATTGTACAGCTTTCGAAGACTACTTAGCCAGCTTGTTAACATTCTGGTGGACAGGCACATGGACTCATGTGAAAAATGGGCGAAATCCATCTCATCTGACTCACAACACCCTCTACATTCACAACTCTCCCCATGTATCTCTTCAGAGAAAACCAGAAGCCTATATAGGAAACTATATGCCCGCACTAGTAAGTACAAAAACTCATCCATACCCTACTTAGCTCGTGTTCTGTGCGATAAAGAAAGCATTAGGCGTGAAACCTTTAACTTATTAAATAGTCAGTAGAACTAATGGTTCTCGTCTTTCCAACTCACATCATTTACAGGTACAACGTTTTCTCTCTCCCTTTTTTTCTCTTTCTGTATTTATTTTTGTTATGTGCTGCTTTGTTCCTCTCTTCCATACAAACTTTACTTGAAACATTCTTGTTCGTTCTTTCACACTCTGTATATCTCGACCATTTTGCTATCGCTTACGCCAGTAAATATGCTAGTAGTATCTACTTTTCTAACACCTTCAAACACTGTTTAAATTTTGGCTTTGCTACCGACCGACATGCTACTGATATGTTGTTGTCAAAACTGACTGAGATAACTTTAATCTATGTCGAACTTTATTTATTGTTAATGTACTTACTGGATGCAATATTGTAGTAAAAATGCTGAGAATTCCATTCTGTATCACAAGTACTGATTTGGAATAAAGCTATTATTATCTTATCTTAACTTATATATATATATATATATATATATATATATATATATATATATATATATATATATATATATATATATATATATATATAACCGACTTTCAGAGTTACTTAGTATCATTAGGCGTCCACCTCATACTCAACATCTGTTAGGAAACCCATGGAGTCCCGAACTAGCTGTTACCCTGTAGGTCAGTTTGTAGTGACAGCTGTCTACTAGCCAGCCACATTAGTATACAGTAATTTACGTCAATATTTATATCCTAAATATTGGTCATGTGAGAACAAGACTGACTGCTGACTCGACAACCAATCACAGAACACTTTGTTTGCGTAGATGGATACAATTACCAGACAGATCGTTGATGATCTGACCTTGAAGAAACAGCCACAAAGAGAAACAACCACCAATCACCAGAAGACTATGGTGTTTGTCTTCTAACAATAATCAATAATAATAATATACATGAAAATCTATAAATATGTGTTGATCTCCATAACAAATGATCTGTTGACTGGCTGGTCTTGTCTTCTGTTGGTACAAATTTGAGTTATATGAAAAGTCAAGGTGAAAACGTGGATCATCCTATAATATTGCGATATGATAATTTTCTCTTAACTTTTACATTTGAGAAGCAATCAAAGGAAGCAAGAAAAAATCATCTCTAAAATTCAACTGGTTGACAGATTTTGTTTTCTATAAAACGCAAAATAATCGAGCAAAGCATATCCCCTTTTCGATAAATTCCTCTTCTGGCTCTACAATTATACACGTATATGTTTATATACACAGAATATTCAAGGTTGGTAGTTAATAACAATATCGGCGTGTTTTTTAAATAATATCGATTTGTAAAGTATGATCAATGGAATTATAGTTCACTAAAAATACTTAAATTATAATAGTAATAAAGATATAATAGCGAGTAGAATATCAACTAAAATTAGGAAATTTCCACAAAATTTGAGAATCATTCAAACCTAGATGGCCAAGCGGTAAGGAGAGCGTCTGAACTAACTTCTTTTCGACGCACAAATTAGGCTTTTTAATGTGGATCCCAACAGCCAGCCTCAGTAATATTTAGTAATCGAACTCTTAAGGCGGAGGAGTTGAGATTTGTTGGTATCCGGTAAATAACTCTAAAAGCCTGGTTAACATCAACCTTATGTTCTGTATCCACAAGATGAGTGGGATAGAATAGCGCTACGAATAGATTTTGTTTGACCTTTGCTTAACCACCGGTGCAGGGTGATGTTCGGAAATTCGACGAGAAACACACCTAATTGTGCGGCCTATGTAACTGGCTCACTCCACAGGAGCAGTTAAATTGTTTTAGCTAAATTTGATCCGTTTGAGATTTTAGTCAAGATATACACATATGTAAAGGAATGTGAACATTGAACGTTGGTTCATTGACCTTGGTCGCCATTGGTGAGTAAATCGAAGGCGCGAATGATTTATTCAATATTGTGTACAAGTTGGAGGAAGATGAATGAAGAATACGGAAAAAAAGTACAATCCATTCCTTGTAAAACAATTGTTTTGTAGACTTTGTACGATAACGAAATTAACTGCTGAACAATAAAATTTCCTTATTGGTTCATGTGTTTTGGAGTTAAAGTCGACAATCGTACCTAGTATAATGTCGATTTTAGAACGTCTTCGCAAAAAATGGTAACTTAGGGTTAAGTTCCTTGGGTGACTATAAAGAATAGCGGCCCAAACCGAAACGACCTTTAAACGCAAAAATGACCTTAACAGGGACAACTTCGACCAATGAGAAGGCTCAAAAAGAAAGGCGCATAATTGTAAAAAACGGTTTATATAAAAGTAATGCAGTCATTATAAACAGTTACAAAGGATAATGTTCGCGTATATGTTGCAGAAAAACCTCCCAGTTTCTCATAGGAGTCTTCATTGTCATATTAAACCAGTTTCTGTACATAAATTCATCTAGATAACTGTAAATCATTGGATTTCTTGATCCATTAACAGCCCTTATCCGTCTTTTTAGGCGACTCTACAAACTTTCGATTGAATTAGTGTGCGTTCCATCCAAAGGATTCCGGAAACCGTCCGTATGATTAACAACATAATGAATGTACCCATGATTCGATAATTGACGGTATCCGTTCCATTCATCTGTATGAATAGTCGTCCCCAGCAACACCAAACGCTTATTAATAGGCACTAATACTGCAGCACTGCGATTGGGAATCGCTTTTATATACCCTTTGCGCAGTGTTGTGTCGTAGATACCCAGTATCCACTGGTGGTTTGCTTGTAATCTCCCGCGGTTGTATTTCCTTTTGATAAGTACAGTCTCATCAATATGGACTATGCTGCTGACTCCTCCGAGAACTTGAGTCAGGGTGTTCATTTTCCAGGAGGAAACATCTCTGCAGTAGTTGTACGATTGCACTGCTGACGCCTCTGAATTTTCTGTTTCATAACCTGTAGCTGTGATTGCTCTTTTCAGGACCCAGAAGTTACAGATCATTAAAATTTTTCTTAAAAGGTAGTTTAGACCTTGAGAGAAAAGTTCCTAAGCGATCTGTAAACGAAAAAAACAACGACAAACCTTCTCCAACCGATTTCCTCCTTCGGCACTCAATACATCTGTATACAAAGCCATCAATGGCTTCTGTGTAATTTTTGTACATGCATGACTCCTCCGCATTGGTAAATTTTCGACAAAGCTATCAGTCCGTTATCCAAATAGTAATCGAAAACATCCATGATTACTTCCGAAAATGATACAGTCACCTGATTCCTTCCTCAAGGTCACTTTTTTGTTCAAAGGTCGTTCCGGTTTGGGCCGCTATTCTTTAGAGTCACCGTTCCTTGAAAACATATGTATTGTAAAAAAGTGGCCTGTCCTGCAATATTAAGCTAGAAAATGGACCTTTGAAGAAACTTAACACAAAAAATTCTCATTTTATTGCTGATATGTGAATGGCACTTTCATTCTGAGTGACATAATGATTCGGATAGAGGAGTACAATAATTACTGAATTCAATGAAGTATATTCTCCACAATGAAATACACGTGCAAAGAGGAATCTTAAAACATAAAGAATTGCCTTCCTGCATCCTTGCGTCCTCCATACAAGAAAACCAGATAGTAGTATAAGAAAAAGAAATGTGCATAGAAAAAGTACTTGGACAAGGCAATGTTATACACATTTTCACACATTCTTTCCTCTCAGGCACAAAAGAAATTCAGTGGAGCCCTAACTCGACCACAGAGTTAATTAGAGCTATATGCTCAGGAGAAGTAATTGAAGTTGAATTAAGCATTGGATATGATACTTTGATCGAAAATGTCTAGTTGTCCCGACAAATTTTGTGAAGAAACACATGACAAAGAAAGCGGCGGGAAAGGACTACTCGCTATCCATCCGTAAACAAGAAGCCTCTTTATATACAACTGGAATTCAAGGACGATCGATATACCAAGTGAGATAATTACGAAGATTTTAAGAAAATCAGTTGAGAGAACTTTGAATGCTAGTGGCGAACTACATGTCTTATTCTCTACACGATCGACGGTGAATCTTCAACTGAAAGATGAAATACCTAGACTAGACTAGCTGGCCACTTCATACTGTATCTACCATACTATTCAACTGCAACTGTGCTTGTGCTGATGGAGCGAGTTATATTGGCCGTTGGTGCTCTAAGAACTTGACTTTCCGTGGTAGCTCGCTCGAGAACATCTTCCAGTATGGCTAAGTAAAGATGTAGTGAAAACCTTTAACAGTTCAATGTTGGACCATCTGGGACAAAACCAGCCAACTTGGAAGAATCCTTCTTTACCATCAACTACCAGGTGCCTAATAAATTGTCAAAATCATCATCGAAGCACGGGATGCTCCAAACACCGGAGGCTATTGCGATTCATCTCAAACAACCAGTACTCTGTGTTCAAAAGAAGCAAGTTCAGCTAGCTAGCCACTACTACTCCCCTGGCTGGCTGGCTGGCCTTCAGTAGAGACTATAAATTCATGAATTTGAAATATTATCTTTCCTAATTCAACTGACATTCAGTTTATTGTTATGTTGGTGCTATTGAACTGTAATCCATTGGTATTAATTATTATTATTATTGATTCGATGTTATTTAAACAGTAACATGAATGTTGTTGTCCATAACACTAATTCATACATTCATTCAGTATAATGGATGGATATATAACTGTAGAGCCTGATAATGATAATGATGATGAAAGGGCTATCGAAAAGAGTATTTATTCTTTTTTGCTCAGTATCTATTCCTTTGAACATCGACGATATCGAAAAATCTTTTTATCCCCCACCTTGAACTGTAAAATTTTACACGGTTATTTCATCAAAACAAATTTATGTATTATTTTTATCAAAAGTGGGCAAGTAGACAAGTACAAAAAAAAACGGAAAGTAGTTACAAATTATCTCAGCCTATAGTCAATCAGTCAATCAGTCAGTCGGTCAAAATTTATGTCACAGAACCTTTTTTAAATCATAACGATGCATATTTTGGTTGGTTTATTTACAAAGTATGTTGATGAGAATACGGCGAGTAACGTAAACTGGAATAGTGAACTGGGGGTAGGGTAGGGGACGGCAGAGAGTAGAGGGTGGAAAGGAATTAGTGAAGAAATATCACTTCCATTTATTGCTTCCATCTTTCTGTGAACAGTTAAACTGAAGGTCTCACATGGTCAACTGAATAACTGAATGCAATAATAATAATACTTGATTGATAAGCGATGCAGAATATACCTCATATACTGTGTAAGCTAAAATTAGGGAGAAAAAGAAATAGAGATAGAACATAAAATAGTTTATATTTGGATTATACATGCATGTATTCTGAGGATTTGTTAGCGTTAAAATCCCTTATATTGCAAAACGGTGTGGAGTCAAACCTGCATGGACGTTCTAGGCGGAAAAAAGAGGGCAAAATACTCGAGGATTGGAAGAACGGATACTTATTCAAACTTCCAAAGAAAGGAGACTTAAGTCAATGTAAAAACTGGCGTGGAATTATGCTTCTGTCGATTCCAAGAAAAATAATAAGTCGCATCATCCTCGAGAGAATCAAACAAGCCCTGGATCAAAAACTTCGTCCGGAACAGGCCGGATTCAGGAGAAACAAATCATGTATTGATCAAATCGCCACTCTACGGATCATCACAGAACAAAGCTTTGAATGGCAGTCACCTCTCTGTCTCAACTTCATCGACTTTGAGAAGGCCTTCGACAGCGTCGATCGAGAGGTCATTTGGAAACTACTTCGCTACTACTGTGGGGTCCCATCGACAATTATACATCTCATCCAACCGTTAGCTGGACGGCAATGCTGCATGAGAAGCAATCCACAACGGGAAACTTACGGAAGCCTTCGAAGTGAGGACGGGAGTGAGACAAGCTGGCTGTCTACTATCGCCAATGATCTTCCTGATTGCAGTAGATTGGATAATGCGACAGACAACGACAACCAGCGAGGGAACAGGCATAAAATGGACTCACACAAAAGACTTGGAGGATCTGGATTTCGCCCGCGATGATATATGTCTGATTTCCCATAAACTGGAAGATATGCATGTGAAAAGCAACAAGTTGGCAGAGTGTCAAATCAATTACCAAAAACATCGAAGCACCGCGGGCTTCCAACACCAAAGGCTATTGCGATTCGCCTTAAATCAACTAAAATTAGGAAAATTCCACAAAATCCAGGATCACCTGAATGGATGGCGAAGCGGGTAAGGACAATGTCTGAACTAACTAACGTCTTTTGAATGCAAAAATTAGGCTTGTTAATATGGATCCTAACGGCCAGTCAGCCAGTCTCAGAAATATTTATTAGTCGAACTCTTAAAGCAAAATTGAGTTTTATTGGTTGGTATGCGGTAAATGACCCAGAAAGCCGCCGGCTGGTTAACATCAATCAGTCTTGTGTTGTGTATCCACAAGATGAGTGAGATAGATAGAATAGCGCTGTGAATAGATTTCGTTTGTGCTTTGCTTAACCAACCACTGTGTTCTTTGCTTCACCCCTCTCACCTTCATAATCAAAAATGTATCATCCCCGTACCGAGAGTAGAATTCGAGTTCATTAATAACATCCTTCAAAAGGCCATTTTCTAGTTTCTCAAGGAAAATGTCGGCTTGAATAGTGGTCCTAATGGTGACTCAATTGCCACGCCGTCAATTTGTCTATATAGTTCCTTATTAAATGCAAAAGGTGGACATTCATTGTGCATTTCAAGAGCTCTTTCACAAGAAAAGATATAGAAATGCCAACATTGATGTTTCATCTTACGAGTTATTCGCATACAAAGTGGACTGTTTCCACAAGTGGCACATATAGGTGAATAAGGAAGATACGTCAACAAATGATATCATGAGTTTATCGTCAAAACATTTAAATCTTTTATCCTTTCAACAATTTCAAAAGTACCCTTTAAACTGTGTTTCACCCAACTCGGTATGAAGAGGCTGATATAGTTCGACCAACCATTTGGCTACGAGATAGTATGGTGAATTTGACATATCTAATACAGGTCGTCGAAGCGGCACACCATTTTTGTGCACTTTAGGCGAGCCATATAATTTTGGCTGTGAACGTTCCAGTGGGTTTAAGTGTGATACTGTATACTGACTTTGTGAGATAAAGCCCTGCTGTTGTTGCTTCAGTCTTCTCAATGTTCCCGCCAACTGTTTCTTTATCTTTTCAATTGGATCCAGAGAAGAGGAGATTTTTGGATATATGTGTGAAACTTGGGCACTGTGGTAGTAAGAAATTCCATATATGTTTGTTAAAGGATCAATCCTTTGTGGCCTTTAAAACAAAACTATTTAGTTCATCTAATACCCTCCCTGTCTGTGACGATTGTCAGGTCAAATACATAGATCAAACTAGTAGAACAGGGTCAGTGAGTCGAACTAGCCAAACATAGAAACCTAGCCTCGAAATCTAGATTGGTTGACCCAAATAAGATAAGAAATCTAGAGAATAGTTCAGCTATACCACTCACTAAATGCAGTTACATGTAACCATACAATAGGCTGGATGGGATAGGATGACGGTTTTAAAATCCAACTGATACAACAGGTTGTATGGAGGGAGAGATTGATAACAACGGAAGCTTTGTTTATCGAATCAACTGAAAGTGAATACGTGTATTAGAAATGTTTCAACACCTGTCCAGGTGGACATCTGGAAAATCATACTACCACGCCTACGACAACGACAAATGGGAGGGGACAAATAAAACTATAAAAGTCAAGTTTCGAAGTCGTGTGATTATAATTAGTTATGTGATTATAAATCGCAATAAATTGTGTTCGAAACGTCATCCAGAATTTTCGGAATTTTAAATTATCACTAAGAATATAAAGTCAGTGCTACTATACGGATCAGAGACTTGGCGAATCATAAAGAGCACCTCAAACAAACTTCAAACCTTCATCAACAGTTGTCTTCGCTCAATACTCAAGATCAGATGGACAGAAAAGATCAGCAACAGGGATCTCTGGGAGCGAACCAATAAGGAACCGATTCTGAAACAAACAGGCAGGAAGAAGTAGAGATGGATTGGCCATACCCTGAGAAAACTATTAAGTGACATCACTAGACAAGCCCTTGAGTGGAACCCGAAAGGGAAGCGGCGAGCTGGTCGTCCAAAGGTGACTTGGAGGAGGTTATGTGAGGAGGAGATGAAAGCATGTGGACAGACTTGGAGCGGGATGGAAAAGTCGGCAGAAAACAGAAGGCAATGGAGGTGTGCAGCTGAAGCCCTATGTTCCTCTAGGAACTAAAGGTTATAATAGTAATTATTATTATTATTATCAATAAAAATATACCTTAATATCTCATTCACTATGATGAGTTCATTTTTAACAAAAGTAGTTTATTTTCTATAGTTTTGGTTTGTAAGCGTTAGTTATGTACTTACGAGTCGATCACAGTTTTATATCAGTTAGAGAACCATTAAAAACCAGGGAGTCCTGGACAGCTGCTGTTTCATCCTAGTTTGGGAGGAGGGGTGCGCTAAATCACGAATTGGTAGAAGTTAGAATTCATGAGCCATTGAATCGGGTCCTATTCAGTGGCTGAATAGTATACGAGCTTGCCTTGTCACCGGAAGGTCTTGAGTCGCGAATCCCAGTGGGTGCGTACTGGAGATGATTCCCAAGCTAGGATGAAACTTCAGCTGTCCAGTACTCCCTGGTTTCCAATGGTCCTCCAACTTATATCATTCCGTGATCGACTCGTAAGAACTAGTGTAACTCAGAGGTCAAACAGTGCAAAAAATTAATATAAAAAATGAAGTTCATATGTTATTAAACTGATGACAGTGTGTGAAATACATCGCTCACCTGGTGCCGGAAGACAAATCTCCATTTTCCATTCGTTCATTCTCTTGCCCTTCATATGCATAATCTAAAGGTTCTTCATTTGACGCATTTTCATAATCTTGTGCTTCGACTTCATTTAGTCGAGACTGTAAAAGTTCACCTATATGCGGCGGTCTGACCATCATGTCTTCATCCGCCTTTTTGTCTTCCACTGTAGGAGTTTCTTTTTCAGGAGGAACTGTAAAATAGAAAGACTATGGAGTCAAAATCAATTTCATCTGTGCGTATATGCAAATGGTGTAGTTATAGTTTATGCGTCTAGATAAAAAAGACCATAAGTTCCACCGAACAAAAAGTAACAAAATCTTTGAAAGATTCAAATCATATTTTGGAATTTCTTCAAGATATCCACAAACATATAATTAATTTATCTACATGCACTCTATCCCAACTACCGTTGGAAGCATTATCTTATGGATTGAAGTACAAAACTATTCCCATGAAAATTAACAAAATGGAAGTCCAGTCACAGTATGAAAACCTGTATGATCAAATCTCTGATTTAACTCCTTCTAGTAAAGATAATCTAGACTGGTTTAAAGTTAAGCTGGTGGATATTTCTCATCAATTTCTAAATGCTAGAATACACCAGAAAAATGGTTTATCAAAAGAACACCACGCCGCACTTAAGGAATTAATCGACAAAGATAATCTTGTGATCCTTAAACCTGATAAGGGAGAAGGCGTTGTCATTATGAACAAATAGCATTATCAAAATAAAATGAATGATATCCTCAAGGATCAGTCCAAATTTCTGGAGGACAATGCTACTCATAATTTGCTGCTTGAGGAAAAGCAGATCAATCGTCAGCTTCAAATTTTACTGATGCATGGTTTTATAAATGAAAAACTTTATAAACCACTTAAACCAATTGGGTCACATACTCCTCAGCTTTATGGCCTTCCGAAGATCCACAAAACTGGGAACCCACTGAGACCCATCTTAGATATGTCAAATTCTCCTAACCATAAAATCGCCAAATGGATTACAGAGGTCCTTACGCCTGTAAGAGACTCATTATCAAATCATTCTGTAAAAAGTTCATTTGATCTTACAGAGATGCTAGACACCTTGAACATTAAGGACAAGGTTATGTGTTCAATTGACATAGAATCTTTATTCACCAATGTTCCCCTTCATGAAACTGTTGATTTCATTTGCGACTACACCACAAGCAACGGGATAAACTTACCTATTACTGTAACTTACATCAAAGACATCATCTTAATGTGTACAGAAAATATTAGATTCACATTCCAAGGAAAAGCATACAAACAAATCGATGGTGTTGCAATGCAGTTGACAGCTAGCTCAAATACTTCGGTCAGCCATCAAACGCACATTCTATGCCACCACATCTCTTTTTCTCACATACCGAACATTTACAATCCCTGTACCTATCTAAGATTAAAGGACGAAATTCTGTGGACTCCACTTCAAACTGTATCTACAAGTTCACCTGCAGCTGTGGTGACACCTATATAGGTAGAACCAACAGAATGCTCCAATGTCCCGGTCGAAAAGAACATCTTCCAAAATGGCTACTAAATCATATCGAAAATCCTAACGCGATTAATCTGAATAGAAATCCAGAATCATCCTCATCCATTGCAAAACACTTATTAATGTCTGGTCACAAAATCAATCAATATTAATGAGTTTCACAATTATTTCACAGAACTCCAATTCAACGTTGGTTATTAAAGGTGATGGAAGCACTTCGGGGATTAATCACATACAGCCTAAACTGTGTATACAAAAATCAATAGACTTCAATCTTCGCCTACCCTGGACTACATGACCTATCTAAATATGATTGGTCATTACTATGTACTTCTGTTTTTATTTAACTGAGTAATTTTCATAAACTTTATTTTATCATTGTTAACCATGTTGGTAGTTGTAAAGCGGTGGTAAAGAAACTACGAAATGAAGATACCATCTCGCGGTGAAATTTGTCTTCTTAATGCCTTGTTCAAATTTATCAAATGGACTAATTGCTTTAATATTTTTTTAACGTTAGGGCTGAGTATAGGGAAGATTAGTGTAATTGTTACTTGGGTTAGAAGACAATAATTACATGCATAGAATGTGGTTAAAAAAATTACTTCGTTGATATAAGAATAGAACTTGGACATTGTGGTTGTGGTAGAGTATAATTCCAGTGTGTAGGTAAAATTTATTCTGATAAAGTCTCACACACACTTCGAGCACAATTTATTATTATTCCCACTCATAATCATCACATCAAGTCACTCACTCACTCACTCACACAACTTTCTTGTTTCCTTCATTTATATACACATGAGTGGAATTCATGATTAGACATTTGAATACATATCAGTAATATGGGATAATGTACATTCAGAAATAATAATAATCATAATAATATGAGTGTTATGAGTGATCAATTACAACAATCAGATGGAAAATGAGACGAGTGTTACTTTTATATTCAAAATAAATGAGTAACTTGTTAGAATGTTGTGATGATGTACGTGAATTGAATTGAAATAGAATACAATTTCAGATTATTTATTATCCTCTCCCGACAACAAAGATAAGAGAGAATATACCTTATCTACTGTTATACTGTGTAAGCAGGAAGAGGACATCTGAGACCCTCTCTACGTAGGATTCTTAATAACAAAGCAGGAATTAAAGTGGTGGCATTCAAACCTTAAAAACCCACTCAGACAGGGATAAACTCTGTAGGTTAAAGGACCCTGCCGGTTGATCCAGTTAGACAAAATAATATCATTTAAAAAATACCCTCAAATGACTGTGAGTCAAGTCAACTGCATAGGTGAAACAGACTAGTAGGTCGGGCGGGGGTAGTCAGATTGTCGAAACATAAGAATTTAGTAACTAAGTTTAAAAATGGTTGAACCCACCCGATAAGATAAGTAATTTAGAATACAGCTAAACGCTACATTGCACTGCGTGCATCAAGACACAACCACACAGTAGCATGGTGGGTGGGAGAGGGTTAAGATTCTAAGAAGTAATCTAGGTAGGTGGAGAGAGAGATAGGTTGATCACTGAACCCTGCTGGGTTCATCGAGTCTACACACAACACAACACATGCAACAGAAATGATTCAATGCGAATACCACAGATATGCATGGAAGATATTATTACTACCAGTCAGTCAGTCAGTCAGTGAAATCAGAGGAGGATAATAAATAATCTCAAATTGTATTCTATTTCAATTCAATTCACGTACATTACAACATTCTAAGAAGTCACTCACTTATTATTAGTTACTAATGTCACACATCTAGTCGCCAATTTTATGCTGATTGTATTCTGTAAGTCAGGTTTACAATGTGCCCCCCCATGCTAGATCGATGGCTGACCATCAATAAACACTCTGAATTGTCATTAAATGCTTGGAGACGATCTTCGGCCTGGCTGCTTTGGATCTAGGTATCGCGGACTGACCGATAGTCATCATCGGTAGCGTATCTACAATCGTGAAGGAGTTTATTATCCACACTGAGGAGCGAGTGCAGATCATGCATTTCTGTAATCAGTCAGAGTTGTTTGTATCATTGGGCTATTTTACTCAGGTTCGTGACTGACCGCCTCTATGACTGTAGTGAATACCTCTTACCAATCAACCAAATCCCTACAAACCAACACTTAAATATCAATTAGATTCCAACTGGCGACTGACCCTATACAGGTAGATAGTTACATACATGGGTGGGTTCTAGTGGGAAGGCGTGACCAATAGAGTGCAGCAGGTTGGGTTTGACGACAAGTACTCGTCACTGAAGACATTGGCTAATGCCAGTCGTGCTATGTTGTGCATGACTTGGCAGAAGGTAGCTGGCTGGTTGGCCATTGGATCGGGTCCCAGTGAGTGGCTTAATAGTCTAAGTACTTGCTGGCCTTGTATTCAGAACGTGGTCCTTGGTTCGAAGCTCAATGGGGTGGGTGCATACTGTTGAATAGCTGGTCCCAAACTAGGACGGGGGAAACAGCTGTCTGGCAGTACTCCGTGGTTGGTTTTCCAATGGTTCTCTAACCACCTGATGTCAGCTTATGATGAAATCTTGTAACCAATCAATCAAAATCCCTACAAACCAACACATGACTTAGGTGAAGACTTACAGTATAGAAAAAAAGAAAACTGCATTTAGAGAAGACTGACCCTCCCCCCTCTATTCTTGTGATGATTTGCTGAATCACATACTTTTTAAAAAAAAAACATTTTATGAGGGTGTTTGATTAAACTCAAACAAGCTCAAAATTTAAAAAATAAAAATAAAAAGACTATAATTAACGTTTACACCTGTCAAGATTTCAAACAACTTTTCCATTACATTTATGTACAAATCTTAGGTGTATCTTGTTGAAACACGTTGTAGTGTTTTTTCAGCCTTCAGTGCATCTACCCGACTTTAGTACATCTTCTTCTTGTTTTGTTTTTTATAACAAAGCTTCAAAATACCTGTATACTTCTTATTTTTATAATTGAAATTTAGATTTTCCCGTCCATCGATTGATGAGACCGAAGTGCATGTCGCTCCCAGGTTGACATGTCTGTTGGCTTCTTATTGTGCAGATGTTTCGACGACGATATCTGGGCATCTGATCACAAGTTAATTGGTGGGTAGTGGTGACTAGCAGTGGAATCAAGTCCAGGATAACGCGCATTTCTTCCGTCTTATTCGGAACTCGTCAATTAATTGGAGGATGGATCTGCCTTTCTCACCAAGGCCCGAACCCCGTGTTCATATTTTCAAACACCAGCAGCCAAAGCGTTATCCACTAGACCACTTGAGAAACGAGAGCCACCTCTTATGCAAATGGTCATATTAATTTTAATTGAATTTCCGTCGATTAATTGGACCGAACTGCTCGGTCTCAGGTTGTCACCATCCACCAATTAAATTCCAATTAAATTAAATGCCCAGAGATCGTCGAAGTGTGGTGAGAGCAGGCTGCTAGTGAACTGGCAGACGTCAATTAATTTACGTCAATGTTTATGTCGCTAATATTGGTCGTGAGAAAATATGAACAAGACTGATTCAAAAACCAATAACAGCAGACTTTGCATAGGTTGATACAGTTGACACATAGATGACCTGACATTCAAGAAACAGCCTCAAAGAAATGCAAGGTCAACTTTCTGTGAGAAAGAACCAATCAGAAGAGTGTGTTTGTTTGCTTGAATAAGCTATAATAATGTAAATGAAAATATATAAATACGTGTTGATTTCCTTAATAAAGGATCTTCTGCCTGACTCTTGTCTCTTGTCTTTACAGAAGCATCTGAACAAGAAGCCAACAGACATGTCAACCTGAGCATTGGACCGAGCACTTCGGTCCATCCAATCAATCGACGGGTAAATCCAAAATTCAATTCCATAATTAATATGGCCCGTCTTACAAGAATTGGGGTGGCTCTCGTTGCCCAGTTATGGTCTAGTGGATAACGCTTTGACTGGTGTTTGAAACTATTGGCACTGATTTCGAGCCTCGGTGCAGTAAACATCATCACTGACTCACTGGGGAATGTAGGTACATCCACCTGCCGGACGAGTCCCGCATAGAACCGGTGAAATTTGCGTTATCCTGGACTGTATTCTGTCACTGCTAGTCACCATCCACCAATTATTTATAGTTTGTATACAATTGGTGGATGGTGGCTAGCAGTGGAATCCAGGATGCGCATTTCGTCCTATTTGGGAATCGTCAGCCACTGGATGTACCTGCATTTCTCAGTGAGTGATGATGTTCCCACCGAGGCTGGAACCCAGTACCCATAGTTTCAAACGCCAAAGCGTTATCCACTAGACCACTAGAACATCATCACTCACTATAGCATTATAATCTACCACAGTGGAACCTGTCACTATAAACACCGATTTAACGCCAACCACGTTAGCTAAACACTACGGAACATCATTGAACAAAGCTTGGATTGGCAGTCACCTCTCTATCTCAACTCCATCGACTTTGAAACTGCCTTCGATAGCGCAGCCTCGATCGGGAGGTGATTTATAAACTACTTCGCTACTACCAAGGTGTGACGCGGACAATCATACATCTCATCCAACAGTTGTACGACAATGCTGCATGACAAGTAATCCACAACGGGAAACTTACGGAATCCTCCGAAGAAGTGAAGACGGAGCAAGACAAGCTGGCTGGCTGCCTACTATCGCCAATGATTTTCCTGATTGTGGGTGGTAGATTGGATAATGCGACAGACAGCGATCAGGCAGCGAGGAAACAGGCATAAAATGGACTCACACTAAAAACTTGGAGGATTTGGACTTCGCCGATGTGATGTATATGTCTGATTTCTCAAAAACTGGAAGATATGTAAGTGAAAAGCAACAAGTTGCCAGAAAAAGCATCCACAAATGATAGTACTCCAGGTGAATATAGATAAAACAGAGATAGGTGATGAAGATTCCTTGCCAACACCCACAGCAGCAACAACAACAGCAGACAACAATCAGGCTGCATAAATGGGAGGAACCTGAAAGAAACAGCCTCCTTCACCTACCTACCTACCTAACTGGGAACCATCGTTTCAACTACAGCCAGACGGAACTGACGAGGATATCAAAGTAGCGATGATCGGGAGAGCAAGAAAAGCTTTCATTACTCTCAAGTCTGTGTGGAGGAGATGAACAGCTTTACTCAGGATGAAAATGAGAATAAGATCAGGATTTTCCACTCCAATGTGAACTCAGTCATTGTTACTCACTGTACGGATCAGAGACTTGGCTAGTGCGCGTCATAAAGAGCATCTCAAACAAACTATAGACCTTCATCAACAGCTAGTTGTTTTCGCTTAATGCCACTCAAGATCAGATGGTCGGCTGGAAAAGATCAGCAACATGGAGGGATCTCTGTCAATGAGCGAACCAATACAGCAGGAACCGATTATGCAACAAATATCAGTAGGAAGAAATCGAGGTGGATTGGATTGTGGCCATACTCTGAGAAAACAAACCATCAAGTGAGTGACATCACTAGACAAGCCATTGCTCGAGTAGAACTCGGAAGGGAACGACCCGAGTTGGTCGTCAGTGTGAGGGTGACTTGGAGGAGGTCATGTGAAGAGGAAATGTAAGCATGTCGGGAGACTTGTAGCCAGGTGAGATTTTTAGCAGAGAACCGAACGCAATGGAGACGTTAGGGCTAAAGTCCTATGTTCCTCTAGAAATTAAAGGAAATAATGATAATAATGCGTTTGCTAAATCTGCATAAAACTACATACTTCTGACTCATTGATGTGAGTAGTATTGGTTGAATAACATTCACATCAACCAGTATAGTGTTTGCTTAGTCAAATTGAACTGACCTCTAACACCGTAGAGGAATTTTGGTGATTTTTGAGAAAAAGCTTATCACAAGGCCGAACCCTATTTACTGAGATTGCTCAGAACTTCACAACCTAAGCGAATGAAAACTAGAAATGCATGGAGGATTTCATCATGAGCTGACATTAGCTGAAGAACCACTGGAAAACCTGGGAGTTCTGAACAGCCAGCTGTTTCGCCCTAGTTTGAGACTCTACAGCAGCACGCATTAGCCACTGGGGTTCGAAACTAGGACCTTCTGGTCACAAGGAAAGCTGATATCAGCTCGTGATGAAATATTCTCCATCCAATCAAACAAAATCCTTACAATTCTATTATGGGTAAAATTTGTTATGATAAAGTCTCACAGTGTTGTTGTACAGTAATATTTACTGATGACAACTTTTCGAGCACAAATTATTGCCATTCATGATCATAGCAAGGCATTACTCACACAACTTTATAACTTCATTTATATAACTCGATTATTCTTCGTCGCTTGACATGGTTGGTAGTAGTGGCACTCTCCATATTTCCGGTATAAGTGATCAATTATTTCCATTGCATGTGTTAGGTGTACACCTGATGAACCAGGTTGGATTCAGTAATGAACCTCTCTCTCTATCTCCACCTACCTAGATTACTTCTTGGAATCTTAACCATCTCCCATCATGGTATTCTGTGGTTGTGTGTTAATACATGCATGCAGTGCAATGTAGTGGTGAGCTTTTTTCTAAATTACTTATCTTCTCGGGTGGAGTAAACCATTCTTACCGTAATCACTAAATTCTTATGTTCCGACAATCTGACTACACCCTATCTACTAGTTTGACATATTTTAGTTGACCTAAGTGACAGTCATTACAGGGTATTTTGTAAATTATATTATTTTGCTCTAATTGGGTCAACCGACAGGGTCGTTTAACTTAATCTACAGAGCTTGTCCTAACTGAGTGAGTGAGTTTATAGGTTTGAATGCCACCACCGACCTTATTCCTGCTTTGTTATTAAGAATCCTACGTCATGAGTTTCTCGCATGTCCCCTCCTTATATGGTATAACTACTGTAGATGACTTATATTCTCTCTTATTTATGTTATCATTACTAGTTTCACAATTATTTCTCGATGTTGCTTTTTGTCTTTAATGATCTTCCTATTGAATTTTATAGGATAGTTAGTTATTTAACACCAACCAGCTCTTCTTCTATCTATCTCATTTCATCATTTAGGTCTTTTCTTGTGCCACTTAGTGCTACTGCTCGGATTGTTAGACACTTAACTTAAGGAAGCCTGCCTTCACGGACAGATAACGGATGAGGTGATGAAATAAAGTCTAAATATCTATTAGCTGGAAATTGTGCTCGAAACGTGGTCATCAATAAATATTACTGTATAACAAATACTGTGTGACAGTTTAGCAAAACAAATTTTGCTCATAATAGAAGTATTATACTATTTTTGCGAGTTCATCACGCATTGATATCAGTTAGAGAACTATTGAAAACCAGCCACAGGGAGTACTGGACAGCTTCTGTTTCATCAGCCTAGTTTGGGAATCATCGGTAGTACGCACCCACTGCACCGGGGTTCGAACCCATGACCTTCCGGTTACCACGACCACAGTGCATAAGTTTTTTATTTTTATATCTAGACTCCTTCCTTACAAAACCAATACTTATTTGAATATTCTTTTTTATTAATCAAAAAATAGAAAAAATGAATACTGAAATTATTATTATTATCCAGAATTTGCTGACAAACTCACCATGGTTGACAACAACACCATAATTCATATTATTTATCAATGTTGGATCACTAGTCCAATCAGCTGAAAGAAATCAAAATATATATGCCAGCATCTCTAATGCTTTGCAATTTTATTTTGATTGTAAATTATATCAGTTGAAATTTATTTACTCACAACCACAACTGTTGTTTATAAGGTGTAATCCCTCCCTACTAAATTACTCACCTGCTTACTTACTTGCCTATGGAAAACAACAGAACAGACTAGTAGCTTAGGTGGATAATTCTGACATGGGCCTGCAACCACCACCTAAGCGAGGCTGATAGTGAGTACATCAGCCGGGAATCAGACCCTGGACTACATGCGTGGGTGGATGGTGAACATTCTACTTTTTTTGTACCACTGATGCACACTTGACTACTGTCATCATTGTATTATAGCCACTGTATCAGGGTTATAAATGTTTACAGTGTTTCAGTTTCCCAGTTAATTCATCGTCAACACTGTTATAGGCCTTTTAAAACTCAACGAAGTTGATGTACAGACAGGTCGCTACCATTCTGAGCTGTGTTCGTTGATGATGCATGGTGTTGCAAACTTATGGTGAATTCAACCTGCTCCCAGAGGTTTGGCCTCCAAACGGTGAGGGTACCAAGATTGTAGTTTATGATCTGTATTTCATGAATTCCTGATATTGGAGTCACATCATAAACTGACGATCAACGAAAACGTGCTGTCAGTAACCCATCAAAATTAAGTTGTATTCACCTTTCTTTACAGCACTTTTTTTTAATAATAATGATTTACTTTATTCCAAAAACAGTACTCGTGATACAGAATGGCATTTTCAGCATTAATCACAATATTCCATCTAATTTCCTCAAAATACAAAGAAATAAAATTAATCACACAGAAAATTTCCCACATTTACAATAGGGGTGGGTAATGTCAAAAACATGCAGCATATAAAATGGAAATAGCAATAATAATGATAACACCTTAGGTAGTAATAATAATAATAATACAAGGGAAAATTGTCGTGGGCTTGTTTCATACAGTATTGTCAGTATATGCGGTATAGAAATCCTAGCATGTTTAAAAATATTGAATAACATGTTCTCTTTACATGATATGGTGAGGGGAAAAACAAAGATTACAGCAGTCGTAGAGATAAGTTGGTGTTTGCAATTATGAGAGTAAAACAAACGAAGAAGCAACAGGACCATAAATATTATAGAAATAGTAAAAGTAAAACTTGAAGGTATCTAAGGATGGATGGATGGATGGATGGATGGAGGAAATTGTTTATTTACTAGATGAAAAAAGGTTAGTAAATTCATCTTGCCTGACACTAATTTCACTATCACATAAAATACGTGCCAAGTATGGTATCATAGAATTTCTATACTTAGACGTGCGAGCATACAGTTTTCTGAAGTTGCCTCTTGTTCTACCTGAGAAGGAGATGCAGGGTGAAAGGAATCTGAGGGTAAAGTGGATGCTCCAAGTCAGACAAAATTCCTTTAGCGAATTTATTGCACGAAACCAAGTGCTCATCGACAACGACGTTAACTATGTGGTCCACTGGGACACCACTCACCCTACTGACTGACCGTCTCCAGCATTCTACGAATTGTGACATAGTCCTTTTTAAGCAGCAAACCAGGAAAGAATAAGCAAGGGTGAACAATAGAGAAGAAGAATAGGTAGGATGCAAGAGTTTATGAGCTGTAGGCGGAGGAGGGGTTGAGTTATACCCGAGTGCCTTAACTTCTTAATGCAAAATGTCAGGAGGAATATTTTACTGGAGATCGCTAAAACATGTGAGGACCAGGAGAGATCAGAAGAGTGAATAATTCCAAGATTAAGTTAAGTGTTTGTTCAAGCGCGTTCACCGTATATGTACCGCCGATACAATTGAAGAAGAAAGACAACATCTCACTGAAATATTGTTAGATAACAATTACCCACTGAGATTTATTAGACGTTCTGGAAGTGTCAACCATCATAGAGCTCTACCAATCCAATCAGTTCCCAAAAAGGATGTTTACATATCCTTGCCGTTCAGAGGTGATCAACAAAGTCTAGTCACTAGACAAAGACTAAAGGCCGCAATTAGTAGAACCTATTATGCAGCTAAGCTTATCTTCATAGAGAAAACGAAAACTATGCTGTCCTGTAAACCCTCACATTATCCGAACGATAGTGTCACATCCCACTGTGTTTATCAATTTACATGTTTGTGTGGAGACACGTACATAGGGAGGACCCATCGGTCTCTGCATGTTAGGGCTACAGAACACATTCCAAAATGGCTGTTAAAACAACAAATAAAATCGCCAGATACAATTGACCCGGGAAATAGATGTCCAACATCATGTATAGCTAAGCATACTATAGAGACGGGTCATATAAGATCGATTTCAACAATGCCTTTAAGCCGATATATAAGACAAGGTTGGGTCACATACTTAAATTCATTGAAGCCTTAGCCATAAAAAGACTTAAACCTGTCTTATGCGTCCAAAAGTTATTTGTTATCACCTTAAACCTGCCTTGGTAATCCAACTTAGCATCAAGGACCAATTTTACTTCATAATATTTTCAAACCCTTTCTTTGCCCTCTTTTTTTCCTCCCTTTATCTTTCTTACCCACACCTTTTGCGTCCCCCTACCCATTATTTGTGACCTTGACCTGTACACAATGTGACCTGTATTGTAATTATTCATGCTTTCTTGCCTTATATAAAAACTGTGTATGACAAGTACTCGTGTGTGTGTGATGAGAATGTGCGAAATGTGTTGCGCCAATACATTATAAGTTTAATTATTAATTAATTTCTGATTTAATTCCTATATCATTGTCGTCAATCTTACAACTGTCATGAGAGTCAACGGCTTCTTTTAATTGTCCTTAATATGGTTTACACGGTTGCGTTCTCTGAGTTGGGTAGTGTTTAATCAGGAAACTTTCAGTTTTGCTTTCTAGACACAAAATCTTCAGACACCAGAGAGTAAGGAAGCCAGGCTTTAGACCAGGAAGAGGGGTGTATTGATCATATCTCCACACTCCGACAGATTCTAGAACATAGGCACTCTTACCGCCTGTGTCCAACAATCGTGATATTCGATTCTTTCGATATAGAGGTTCTCTGGCGATGCTTGACTGTAAAGGGAATACCGAGAAAATACATTGCACTGACCAAGCCATTCACTCTACTCTAACTCATGCGGTCAGCCAGGTGAGGGTTTACGGCGAGTCGTCATCTGAAGTGGTGACAACTAGTGGTGTCTGTCAGGGATGCCACCCCATTATCCTCATTTCTATTCCAATGCATCATGGATGTACTAATGGATTTAACCCTAACTCACTTCAGAGACTCAGAGATTGGCTTGTTTCCGCCAAGGAATAATCTCCTCGACTAGGAATATGCAGATGATGTAGTCCTTCTAGGCGAGGACGCTGAGAAAATGCAGCAGAGTCTTCTGAACACCTTGAGCTGCAATCTACGAATGTTTGGCATGCGAGCTATTCGCTCCCGCCAAATGTAAGATGATCTTACAAGACTGACTGGACTACACTGAGTCCTCGTTTAGAAATAGCAAGTGAAGTAGTAGAGCACGTTGATCGCTTCACTTATTCGGGAAGAACCATCAGCCAATGCCAACGGGTTGATCTCTGACGAAATCTCAGCACAGATACAGAGGGCTGGTTTCGCATATGCCCGCCAGTTTACGCCGTCTCTGACTTAGTAGACGTGATATCCGGCCAACTGGCTATCAACCAAAGGGCGACTGTACTGCTCATCAGTCCACTCCGTCCTCCTTTATGGCCAGCTGTGAGACCTGGCCATTGAGAGTGGAAGACATGAAAAGGGTGACTAGCTGTCTTTGATCATAGGTGCCTGAGCTCTATCTCCCGTGTGTCTTAAGTGGTATAATAAGGTGACCAATATTGAGGTTAGGCGTCGGTCGAGTGCTAGGCAGGTGGGAGGGGAAATCAATCGACAGTGAGGCTGTGAAATTACATCGACTGAGATGGTTAAGACAAGTGTTACGAATGAATGCCTGGTCATCGCCTTCCTCAACTGACGGGCAATGTTAGCTGACATAGGGTCAGAAAGGCTAGTGGCGGTCAAACCAAAACACGGCTTCGTCAGTCATTGAAATTCACAACAGTTCGTTTAAGCCAGCGAGCCAGTCACTTAGGAAGATGTAGACTTCCTGACTGTTTAGAGTCCTCAGGACGGTAAAAACCAATGAAGGCTGGAAACAATTGGTGGTAAGTTTGGCTCAAAATCGTTGTCAATGGCTGATGCAAGTGCATTCACTCCTTGTGACTTATGATTTCAAATGAAACTATATTGTTCTTCGTTATTACTATTCGTTTGTCTCACACCTCTGTTTACTGTCTCTCTCTATTATGCATTTCTTCTGCTTACTTCTCTTGCTTTGTGTGCTCCAAGGAGTGGAGTGTGGCGACTTGAACTGCCGCATATTTGTGCAATGTTCTATGTCGAAAACAGACAGACAGACTAAAAAGTTAACAAAAGCTTATCAATTCAATCATCCAACGCAGAGAACAAAACCACATCAAAATCAATGGAAACTTTTCAAGGATTCTTAAGAATTCTGTAACATTGAATATTTCATAAAACTATTCAGAAGCCCTTTCAAAGAAAATCGATTAGAAGTAAAGTGTCTAGGTCATTCACACACGTACTGTCTGAAAAGGTATAAAAAAGAGTATTTAGCTTGTGTGCTTTCTGTAGATGGTTTACAGGGTGAGCAATGTTGCTTAGTCTAATAGTTTCATTTAAAATAAATACAAGAGAAATTAGATGAGTTAATCGATGCAAATCTAACTGGGAAATAACTTGATAAATCCATTTAAAAAGTCAAAAATATGCTGATGATTATTCTGTAAATGTGCTTATATTATTATATGAGTAGGACCTGGCCAATCTTGTGGTAGTAAGTAATTCCATATTAGTTTCTTTATTAGATGTATCACACACAGTCAGTGAAACAGTATTAGTATTTACTGAATGACACAGATTAGAACACAACTCATTATTGCT